AATAAATGTTTATGGGGTAAGGAAATGGTATATCCTGAAAGAGACTTAAGCAGATGCCAGAGGAAAATGGCCATGCTGTGAGAAGTGTACAACTCCCCCAGATCAAATGCAATATGTAACCTTTTCCATTCAAGTAATAAAAAAACAATGGACAGCCCTAAAGAAGCTAGCTGGGTAGGTAGTAGTGATGTCATTTTCCAAAAAATGTCTGACCGATACCGACCGAAACCAAAATTTGGGAAAAATTTCCGACCGAATACCGACCGATAACATCCCAAGCCAAAATTTGACCAAAATTTGACCGAAATTTGACCGAAATTCTATTTGCTATTACTCTACCCCAAAATTAAATTATTTGGTAAATTCTGATGGAAAATAATGGGAAATGACATTTCAGTCCAAGTTCAGTCAATTTTTAGCCACTGCAAGATACATTTTGTGGTAAAAGTTACATTGCTGAGGGTAGCAACACATGGACCTCAGCATTTCACAGATTTGGTTAATTAGAATTGTCAAGAATCTACTGTGGTCTATGTAAGGAAGAATGCTCATTCATGTTGAAAAAGCACGATCAATTAGTAAGTCAAATGGTTGGTAATAGGTATGTTCATGACAACATTCCCTAGAAGAAAAGGCGGAATCAAAACACCACAAAACACATCAAAACTGCTTTGAAACTTGCCTTGAGTCTTGAGATGTGGTCTGAGATACTCTACAAAGAATTTGACACTGAAAATCCAGCTGAAAAGGCAGGTATTAGGTAGCTCTGAGCATGAATTTTGTCCCAAAAATGAAATGAAAATTCATTAAACAGGCACTTTGTCTTATCTCTTGTTTGTCTTATCTTTACAAGAAAACAAAATATGCAGACAAAATTAATACAAAGTGGCGCCAAAGTGGCGCAAAAAGTAATAGAAGAACCAAGGATTGACTTTTAAGATCCTCTCTTCCCTAACGAAAAGATGTATGATGATGACGTAATATTTATTTATATGCCCTTTTGGTCGAATTATTGAGGGGAAATGAATTTTCTTGTAGTGAGTTACACTCACAATGTTGATTTCATTAGAATTCAATATCGTGCTGGATCATTTACATCAATAAAATAATTCACGAGGCAGCATGTAACAATCCAAAACTTTTTTTGCAGCAACTTAATCAGCTGGTTTAAAGTCTCTGTTATGGCGCATCTGTTTCGAAATCCTTCCTTGTGTTTGGAATGTGGAAGATTCCAGAAATCGGACATGGGCCGAATCTGTAGTTTTTGTCAAGATTCCTATGTTTTTGTGTTGTTGTCATCTATATTTCAAACATTTGGTTGGTACCTGCAATATTTAAGGAGAATGTGGAATAGTAGAACACCTGTGAAATGTAAATGTGATCACTGCTAAGTGCTAAGTGCTAACTGTCCAGTCTTCAGAAACACATTTCAGTAATTCAAGTTATTTTTGTCCTTGCATTTTTGATGACTGTATAATGATTTTTGTAGGCAATACTTCTTTGATTACAGGTGAAATTTTAACAGTTAGACTGGAAGTTTCAAAATTGTGTGTACTTGTGGGGCCAACTGAGTCAAAATCAGCCTGCTTGTAGTTGTGGTTGGACAATGGTGATGGGTGGCTGCTGCCTGCTGGGTGGGATGGCTAATGAAGCTGCCAAAATGTGGCATTTGGCATTTGGGGAAAATTTTGCAACTCTATCATTAACATCCCCATAAATTTCATTTTAACTAGGCAAAAATGGAATACTTTCTCTTTTTGCAAATGGTTTCACTGGCAGGGTGACCGAAAGTGTCCGATTTTTGGGGGGCCTGACCGACCGATTACCAAATCGGTCAGCATATCTTTTCGGTAACCGAAATTTTCGGTAACCGAAATTTTCGGTAACCGATTGACACCACTAGTAGGTAGGTAAGGTAACTCAAAGCTAGGTAGGTACTAGGTAACTCAAATACTCTGGTCTCCAAACCAGTTAAATACTACCTAGCATTGATGGCCAAAAGACTCAATGATAGATTCAAAAGGGATGCATTTGATGCAGCAGGGAGCATCTTAAAAAATCAATTAACAAAAAAAGCAAACAGCAAACAGAAGAAAAATATATATTAATTATGGCAAGAGTTCAAATGCATCTAAATGATTTTTAATGACTGGAATCATCTACATGTCCTATTTCACAGCAATGCACCTCAAAAACACCAATATTTAAGTTGAATTTTTGCAGAGCTGGGCAAGTGCATTCCTTTAGTGCGTTCCTGCGCTCTTGCGTACGTACGCACCGCCTTTTTAGGAACGCAAGAACGCAGGAACGCAAAGTTTTTCAAAGGAACGCAAGTAAGAGGAACGCACCACCCGAAATTTTGAAGCGTTCCTCATTTTGTGAAGTGCGAACCCTGCTATACCATGAAAAAAATAAAAAATGTGCCCGAACTAGGATTTGTCCGATGTAACAAGAACTCAGAACCCCCAGATAGGTAGATGAGTTGTTGGATATTGCTGCCAATGACCTCTGTGTCAAATGTTTGAATCTCGAATACGTGTTTGCCGGTAGAGGCGCCACTTGTCGGTCGAATCGAGGAAGGCTTGTTTAGATTTAGTGGTGATGTTTACTATTCGATTCGGTTTCAGGCATTAAATGTGTAAAGAAATATGATAACTTTTACTTAGATACATCTTTCAACTTAACACTCGCACCGACGGGGGTCTGCGCCAACTTCGTACCGACGGGGGGGGGCGGATGACCGTCCCCCCCCCTGAGATCTCGAGAACAAAGCAAGATAGCGACAAGCGGTAAACGGCATCGGATACGCACGGACAAGGTCTACAATTTTTACTAAGGTCATTTTCAGGTCAGGTCAAAGATGACGTCACAGGGGTCGAAAAAGTCAAAATGGCGGCGCTAGATATGGAGAGAGTTTTTCTCGAATAACTTTCGAATTAGTCATGATAGGAACAAACTAAGGGCATAATCGTGATCCTCTCGTCAATCCGCATCGAATGATATATATGTTGACCTCGAAAGGTCAAGATCAAAGGTTGACCTCAGGTCACGTGACCTCGAGGTCATCATGTATATCATTCGATGCGTCTTGACGAGCTGAACACAATGAGACCATCCGCGCGGCTGTATCTTGTTCCTGTACGGAGTTATTGGCAAAAAACCGCTGGTGACCTTTGATGACATCACATGACCTTACAGCTACCCAACAGCAAAACAGACCTCAAGGTAGTGAAGGTTGATCGTATATGAAGTCATGTATGGTATATGGGGCCATTCCAACCCGTTTTAGTGATAAAAACAGGGAGTTGATTTATCCCCCATTGACTTATAATGGGGAGGTCGCGAAATTGACCTGACCTTAGGCCACCGACATCAAAATTCCGAGATATACAAATTGTAGCTACTAATGACCTAATAACATCCTGCGACTTTCAAAGGCCTCCGACATCTACTGTAGCTCTGGCACGGTGACAAAGTTGCAAAAAAGTGACTTGAGGTTGGGTCATTCAAAGTGACCTGACCTTCAAAGTTAGGAGGTTCAAACTTGCACACCATGTGTAAAATTGATGAGAGAATAGTCTTACCAAATTTCGTAGCGCCGCGGTTTTCCCGCTATCCGCGAAAAACCTCAGGGGGGGGGGGCGGATATCCGCCCCCCGTCAGTGCGCGTGTTAACTATAGTTTTTTAAGCAGGTCGTATTTTTGTTGAAAACCCTACGGATGATATTGGTAAAACGTATTTCAGATATTCGATTCGGAAAAGAGATGTCGAGTTGCTTTTCGGCCCCGCGTCGCCATTCTGGGTATTCTGTGATCGATTCGCCCCGTGTTTGGTTGGGCCCGCGCCGGGTTAATAGTTTCAGGTTAATAGTTTGGGACGCAGGAACGCAGGAACGCTAACGCACCGAGCGAAAAAAAATTGAGGAACGCTATTCCAGGAACGCACTAACCGCGGCCCGAGGAACGCAGGAACGCTAACGCACTACCGAAAATCGAGGAACGCGCCCAGCTCTGCATTTTTGTTTATTAATTTTTATGAGTCTTTATAAGCTTTCACTGTAAAAGCTTACAGGAATAAACAAAATTAGGTGTCATGCGCCATCAGATAGCCTTACATACGCCATTAATGTGCAATAAAATTTAGATGAAATTACACTAAAATGCAGAATTTGCATGGAAGGTTGTAGGTGGTTTGGTTGCAAATAAATTTCTTTTAAGTTATAGGTTAATAGGTTAAAAGCTATTGGGTTCTAGATTGGTAGGTTGTAGATTAGAAGTAAGGTTAGGTCAGGTCATATTAGGTTTAGCTCCTTTGAATCTATTGATTAATAATTGTTGTCATTAAAGTTTGCTCTTTTTCATGTAGACAACTGTATCCCACTTCATAATATCTAGCCTTCACATTGAATGTTGATATTGTGATAATCCTTGGGAGGCCTCTCTGACACAAAGGAACATTGTAACTTAAATTTGTAGTAAATTTACAACAAACACCCATTTCAGCATTCTCACTCCAGTAGTCATGTTCTTCAGTCTTCACTATCAAGAATTAGATTCTGGCTATCAGTTCTAGATTCTGCCTCTAAGATTTTAGATTAGAGATTCTTAAATTGTCTTTTGAGAGGCAAGGGTCTGAACAGTGAACTATTGCCTTAATCCCTTCCATTAAGCAGTGTCATTTTCATATTAACAGCAGACAGTATCATAATATATATATATGTATATATATATATATATATATATATATATATATATATATATTAGGCATAGTGAGCTGGACCACTGCGGAAGAAATTCCCAATCGCTGAATCGCCGAAACCAGTGATTAACAACCAAGCAAAATTAGCAAAAAGCAAAATATTTTTATTCAAACCATTTTTACAATATTGATACAGCAACTTATGCATAGCATCCTTAAGACGAATGATAAATGGAAATGCCGCAAAACTTATGTTGATGTGGATGATGAGGTCGAAAGCAGACTGGCAGTGAATACGTACCTAACGCTCTCTTCCGGACATTTTCCGGTCTCTGAAAGTATCGAGAGACCATTTCGACAGCGTTATTATGACACTCTCTTCAATAATAACGCCGAATTCCGACTAAATCTCTACAATACGCTGACAACCGCGCGCCATACGTGTGCCAAGCACATGAAAAGCCTTGATGAAAAGAAAGAACAAGCAACATGGCGGACCGGAAACTACACATCCCACACATCATCCTTAAATTGCTGCAAAAAAACGAACTGGAAAAAATGACGTACCTTAGATCAATCTGAAACGAAGGAATTACTATTTTGGTTTCAAAACACGTAATACATAGGTAATTTGCAAACCTTAGACTTAAAATTCACATTATTTATAAATATCACGATGGTAAAAGTAAAAAAGCTGTACTTCATGATTCATCGATATCAATTTACCACTGAACTCTATAATGCAACTTACCGATCAATCGCTGAATTTCAAAGGCACCTTCTGCCTCAAACGTGCAATTTTTCGGCTGTAAATGATTTTTCAAAGCTGCTATCTAATTTTACTAAAATCTGGATATGAAACATATTCCAATCTGAAATAAATTACAGTTATCTTATGATCACAATACCTTTTTTTTAATAGTGGCAATCTATTTCAAATCGTTCACAAAAGCTGCGCACGTGGTGCATATAATGTATTTTTTTTGCTGTTCGCTGTAGGTATGACTTCATTTTAGAAATAATTGCCTGGCAACGTGTCAACAAGCAAGCCATTTTATTTTGCTCACATCGTTTCATTTCGTTCATCTTAGTTTCTGAACAGACCTAGACATGCTTGCAAGTGTTGATGTGAAGTTGGGAGAGTGAAAACCAGAGTGAAAACAGTGAAAAGAGTTAGGTCGAAAATCTTTTCGAGTGAAGTAGTTCGAGTTCCCTTATACCGTGGAGTGAAGTTGTCATTCTTTTCTTGCATTATGAGCTGAGCTTATGAGCAGAGGGAGGCTGAAGGGGCTGTTTATCATTAGAAATGAGGTAATGGGAAGTCTTTTGACAAATCCGACATTTTCTGCATTTTCGTACATTATAGGATGTTTCATTTTCATGATGGGATATTTTCCAACTCCAAGAAGCATATACAGTGGAAACAACAGCTATAACGAAAGGTGGGTAAGGGTGTGTAATGTTTATGCCCATTATGCCCCCCCCCCCCATATACCAAATCCTGAATGTTTTCAAGGTCTGAAACTTGAACCAAATTGGAAATGAACTTAGTTATTGTAAGCTGGTTGCCTAGTAAGTAGCAAGAGTACCTGTTTAGGCATGTTTCTGATGATAAAATGTGAAGTGTCTATTACAGGTAGGGGTAAGAATATCTTAATTAAACCAGTATAACGCCTTTTGGGGCGACTAACAGAGCGAGCGAGAGGGTGGGCCTTGCACGTGCAAAATTTCGAAGGGGTACCTCCAACTGACTTGTGCACGGCACCTTACTAACTGGTCCCTAACCGTGTACCAAATTTGAGCACAATCGGCCCAGCCATTCTCAAGATCTGGAAGCGGCACCCTGCATGTGCGCACGTGCAAAATGGGTCCCAACTGACTTGTGCACGGCACCCTACTAACTGGTCCCTAACCGTGTACCAAATTTGAGCGCCATCGGTCCAGCTGTTCTCAAGATCTGGAAACGACCCCTGCACGTGCGCACGTGCAGCAGCACCCCAACTCTGGCACATGGATATGGAGTGCCTAATGGGTGCCTACCTACATGCCAACTTTCAGCGCAATCGGCCGAGTAGTTACCAAGATATTGCAACAATTACAAAACTGACCCTCTTCGTTTTGCACGTGGCACGTGCATAAGGGGTCACCCACATGCATCGGGAATAGTCCAATACTTGGTAGAAGGAATGAAGCTACCCTACAAAAATTACCGCGTGTAAATCGGTCAAGTGGTTGCTGAGATATAAGCCTCGCAAAAGCGTCCGCACGGCCGGCCGGCCGCTCATACTCAGAAATTTCCGTTAATCTGAGGAAAGACTCCGCTCGCTTCGCTCGCTCCGTAATTATGCTCAACTCAGAATAATGCTCATTAGTATTGATATCAAGACTGATTTCTGATGACTGTATGTGCTTCTTTATCATTTATCTTATTCAAATCTGTTTCCTTTTTCAGTGTTGTTTTGGAAGGACATTCTCCAAAATTGGTTTGGATGATAATTGATGCACTCCGAGCAGACTTCACCCAGGATGATGGCAAGGTTGCATTCCTTGACAAGATGAAGAATGCAGGCCATGTGAGATCCTATGTGGCACTGGTTGAACCACCAACTGTCACCCTGCCAAGAGTTAAAGTGAGTGTGCAATAAAAATGTCAGCCTGGTCGGTGGTCATGCTCTGCATTTTGTCTTTCACATTACTCGGCCTGGTAACCACCCCAGATGCTTGACTGCACTGACCTTCCCTAGGCGCTGACCACGGGAACAGTGCCCGAGTTCCTGGACGTCCTTCGGAACTACGACAGTGGCGCACTGTCCCAGGACAGCCTGGTGCAGAGCCTGCACGCCGCTGGACGCCGACTAGTCTTCTATGGTGACGACACATGGCTCCGGTTGTTTCCAGAGTCGTTCGTGCGACAGGAAGGCACCCATTCGTTCTTCGTCAATGACTACACAGAGGTAGTGTTGGAGTGGTATGAGCTCTGTGATCGGTTGACCGTTGTTTGATACATAATTATGTATAATAATTGTAATCTAATTATAATTAGAGCAATGAGAGCGAAATTCCCAGGCCGTCCAGTGGTCTTTTCGTAACGTTGCCGAATATTTCCGATGGCCATTAGTTACGTCATTTCGACGAGTTATTTTCCGCACTTATTGCAGATCAGTGCTCATGGCAGATCGGATGCGTTTCCGGATAGTTCTGATTTCTTTTGTCGCCCCGGCTCCTCTATCGCCCATTCCTTCTGTGCCACAAGTCGCGACCGATCTGTCTCTGGTACCGTGAAAACTCGTCGGGGAATAGTTAAATTCGCTGGGGAATTTTATTTTTCAAATATCATTCATCTGATACGCGAGAGCAACGTTCAGTGTTAGACCAATGTTCATGGAGAACACTTAATCTGTTTAGAACGTTGTTGATCTGTCTTCAACCAAGTATCAACAGTCCCATCTCATCCATGGCCACTGTCGCCCTCGCCAGAGCCCCGGTCTCACCCCCCCCCCCCCCGCCACTCCACTGCCCATCTCAGGTGGATAATAACGTGACTGGTCACCTGGCCGCCGAGCTGGCGCGTGACGACTGGGACGTGCTGATCCTCCACTACCTGGGACTGGACCACATCGGCCACCTGGCCGGACCCAACAGCCCGCTGATTGGCCAGAAGCTCTCCGAGATGAGTGACGTCATGGAGACGCTGTACCGGGGGATCGGCAGGTTCGCCAAGGTGAGGGACGATTCTAGAGCTGACGGGCTGCTGTGTGGTGACTGATTGGTGGTGATTGGTGATTGGTGACTGTGTGGTGTGGTGACTGCCCAATCACGTATGTTAATATCGATGCGAGGAACTGGGTTGTCGATATTTCCAGCCCTGCCAGCGTCCCTCGTCCCCCAGAGCGACCCGTCCCCGGTACCGCTGCTGCTGTACCCCTCCCGCTGACCTCTTACCCCGCCCCTCCCCCAGAGCGGCCCGCCCCCGGTACCGCTGGTGTACCCCTCCTGCTGACCTCGGACGCCGCCCCTCCCTCAGAGCGGCCCGCCGCCCGTGCTGGTGGTGTGCGGTGACCACGGCATGAGTGAGGCCGGCAGCCACGGAGGCTCGTCGGCCCCGGAGACCCAGGTGGCGCTGCACTTCGTCAGTCCGCTGTACGCGGGCCAGCGACAGGTGGGTTAGGGGACGGACGTCTGGATCGGCGTGATGCATCGCGTAACTTTCCTCAGAATTCATGTTCAAGAACGTAATCGATTTAACCATCTGAAAGGAAAGCGTGGACAGTCCAATTAGCTGACCTGATGTTACGGGTGCAGGGTGATTTGTACCCACCTGTCGTGGCGTGATATGACGTGGCGAGATTCACTCATCTGACCTCCGTTCCCTTAATCGTCCGGCCGTGCGTCCCCTCGCAGGCGGAGCCGGGCCGCCGGGTGCGCCAGCTGGACCTGGCGCCGACGCTGGCCGCGCTGCTCGGGGTCGCCGTGCCGGCCGAGTCCGTGGGCCGCGTGTTGGAGGACGCCGTCCTCCCGCTAGGCCGCCGCCGGCTGGCCGCAGCGCTCATCAACACGGGCCGGCAGCTGCTGCGACTCAGCGGGAACCTGCCGCACGCCGCCGCCAGCGCAGGTGACTGGTCCGAGGTTCGACAGTGGTCCGAGGGCTGCCGGCCACTGGTGGCACGACACGGAGGAACAAATTCATTTGATATGTAACATGTAGTTGAAGTACATGTTCGGAACATGTCATGTTTCAATATTTCTTTCAAGCTGTCGGACGACTTCAATGGCCTCGTCTATTGTATCTCTGTTTAAACGATGTCTTCTTCTTTTGGCAGACGTTGAAGCGGAGATACTGTCCAGAGCGGAGCAGCTGCTGTCCTCAGAGCCCGGGCAGGATCCCGAGGAGGCCGCCGAGCGGGCGGCGGCGGCCGCCAGTGGCGCCGTGCAGCGGCTGCAGGCCAAACTACTGGCGGGCGCCGCCCAGCACGACCCGGCCGCCATGGTGCTGGGCGCCCTGCTGCTGGTCCTGGTGAGTCAGGGCGGCCGGCGCTGGGACGGGACGGGTGTCTGATAGGTGTTATAGGTACCAGTCTGTGTCGCGGGTGGATGTTGAGGAACTCTTGTGTTTGCTGTCGGCTGACCGGTCCCCGCCGACTCGGCAGACTCTGGTGGCCTCCTGTGCGGCCCCCGGCCCGGTGTCGGCTGCCGCCCTGGCCGCCGCCGTGCTGGGCTGTGCGGCGGCGCTGCTGCTGCTGTGCGGTCTGCTGCCGGGTGGACGGCTGTGCGCGGCCGACGGCGCGGCGCCGGCCCTGCTGCTGGTCGGCGCCGGCTCCCTGGGTGTGGCGCACCTCTGCTCGGCCGCCGGCCGCCTCAGCCGCCGACACCGCCTGCACGACATGTGGCCGGTGAGCTACCACATCAATTAGAAGGGAATACAACACTCATACACGGCACGTCTACCTGTACTTATCGGCTGAGCTGTTGATTTCCGCGGATCAAAAGACACCGAGGCTCAGATCAAACCTTTTTAGCCTTTTTAAACTGAGGTCTAGCTCATACATAAGAAAGTCGTTTGCACCGTTAGAAAAAAAGTATATACTTACGATGCATATTTTTCTGTCGGACCCATTATTTTACCTGATTTGGGGTGTTGTAACGAGGGCCAAATAATCAATCATTGTGTTCTCACGTTTCTCGGACTGACCGTGTCTGCTCTGATGTTGCAGCACCTGTCGCCGCTGGACTGGCTGCTGTGCGGCGGCTGCGGCCTCCACCTGCTCAGTCTGGGCGCCACCAGCTTCATCGAGGAGGAGCACCAGACCTGGTACTTCTTCACCACCACGCTGTGGCTGCTGCTGCTGTGGGCCGAGCTGCGCCGGCGGCCGGGCGCTCCCCGCTCCGCCAGCCGCCGCGGCTGGCTCTGCGCCGCCCAGCTGCTCACCTGCGGCCTGCTCAGACGCTGGAACCAGACGGGCGACAAGTGGCTGCACCTGCCGGATATCGGCGACTGGCTGACGGCCGAGGGTCACCGGCCGTGGCTGGCTGCGGTCTGGGCGGCCGGCCTGCTGCCGCTCGCCGTCCTGCTGTCCGTCAGTGGCGGCGGCGGTGGGAGCGGGGCCGGCTGGGCGGCGGCCGGCGCGCTGTGCCTGCTGCTCCGCGGGCTCGCCGACGAGCGGCTGCTGGGCGTGGCCCGGCTGCCGGCCGCGGCCGGTCTGTGGGCCGCCCAGGCCGTCTACCTGCTGGTATTGTCCGGCGCGCTGTGGCCGTCCGCCGGCGGCCGGGTGGCCCGCCTGCGCCGCTCCTGGCTGCTGCTCGGCGCTCTGCTGGTGCGGCCGCACAACCTGGCCGCGTGGGCCGGCTGCGCGCTGCAGAGCGGCGTGCTGCTCGCCTGGCTGGACACGCTGCCGGCGCCGGCGCCACTGACGGCCGCGCTGACCGCCCACTGGACCGGCATGGCCGCCTTCTTCTACATGGTAAGCCGCCGGCGCGGGCGGTATGGGGCCGGTGGGCGGGCGTGGCTTCGCAGTCGCTCTTGCCTCTCGGTTGCTCGTGGATGGATTTCATCGTCTGGATGAGAGCAAGGAATGTCCGCGTATCGCGAAGCTTGCTAGAAACTCTTGCTTACATTTTTTCTCCTCCAATGGACCGTCGATGTTCTTGCCCCTTTGCTTGTCAACTCTCCATCTCTGACCTCGTCCCGTTAATCTGACGCGACCTGCCTTCCCCAGGGCAACTCCAACAGTCTGTCGAGTGTGGACATCTCGGCCGGGTACGTGGGGCTGACCGGTCACAACAGCGCGGTGGCCGTACTGCTCACAGCCAGCCACACGTACGCCGGGCCCGTGCTGGGTCTGCTGACTGCTCTCCAGTACGGAGAGAAACACAGGTCAGTAACACTGGACAGAGCGGGAGAGGGATACCGTGCTGGGTCTGCTGACTGCTCTCCAGTACGGAGAGAAACACAGGTCAGTAACACAGGACGTCAGGTCGGGAGGGGGATACCGTGCTGGGTCTGCTCACCGCCCTCCAGTTACCTGGAGAGACGCACAGGAGGGTGGGTCATAGGCGACACCGCGCCGTTCCAACGTAGGCATCGGTAAATCCTTCAGGGTGTATTAATGTCATCTCCATACTGCACTAACTGAAGTGCACTTCCTTTTGTACGATATACCGTCGAACGTAGCAGTTTTCATTCTTGTTTGACATTTATCTTTCAAAATTAGGAATTTGACTTACACTATTGATAGAAATGAGCTCGTTGAATGAGCAGTGAGCGCCGCTGTAATCTTCTACCGTACGCCGCCCTGAGGGCTGACCATCCGCTCCCCGCCGTTGCAGGTGTTTCCGGGCGGTGCTGCTCGCGCTGGTCACTGTCCGCGGCCTGGTGCTGCTCGTCTACTGCTGTCTCTCGGCCGCCTTCCTCCACCACATATTCGTGTGGACCGTGTTCTCGCCCAAACTGCTGTACGAGGCCGCCTGGACGGCCGTGGTGGCGGCCGTGGCCGCCGTGACGTCAATGGCGGTGCGCCGGTGACGTCAGTGGTGACAAGAGGGCCGCCGGTGGTCGCTGTCGCTGGAGCCGGTATCGAACTGTGGAACCAGCAGCGGGTTATTCCACTTGACCACTCGACCGGTGATTACAAGGTGAACTGTGATGTGTTAACTTCTATTTATGAGCTTTAATGCGCGTCGCCTTGTTATTGATACGAAGGTTCACAGGTGTCGACTGATATGTGTGGTGAGCTCAAACACTGCCTTGATGAAGAAGAGAGCCGCGAATCTGCCACTTTGATTTCCCGAGTGATCCGATGCGTCTGAGACATTCAGGGGACGCTCCATACCTAGGATATTGTATTCGTTCATATCGTCTCCATATATGGCAATTGGATACACAGCTCGAAGAAATCATATACGCAATTAGTTGATCTCTCTCTCTCTCTCTCTCACACACGCACAAGTCGCACCAAGTGCCGCGGTCGGGCCGGCGGCGGCTGGTCTGAAATTGCCTCCGCCGGCCGGTCATCACAGCGGCGCCAGCCCGCCGTACAAATCGGCCCGCAGCCGGCCACCCTCCCACCGCGGGCGGGCGGGTGCGTGTGTGTGTGTATAAAACGTCCTCAGCCAGCCGCTCAGCCTCGGGCCGCCCAGCCAACAATGATATACTGCGCGTGCGTGCGCCGAGCCGCCGCGCGTCTCCCCGGTAAAATGGGCCCGCCAGCGAGTCGAGAGCGAGCCGTCCCGGCGCCCGACCAGGCCGAGCGCGAAAACAATGAAAGCACGATAGTTAAGTGGTTGGAAACTATCTACCTGTAACAAGGCGCGGCGGACGACGGCCGAGCCCGGCGCAGCCCACACTAACAAGTTCCACAATACCCTGAGATAGAAAACAAACAGAACTAGTGTGCAGTGCGCGTCCGGCGGCGACTCAGCCGTCGGGCGGCGGCGGCTGGTGCGCGGCGGCCGCCTGCTCGTGCCGCAGCCGCTCCAGCAGCTCGTGCCGCAGCCGCTCGCGCTCGGCCACCTGCTGCCGCTGCAGCTCCTCCATGTCCAGCCGCTGCCTGGCGACGGATAGGGACCGTCGTCAGACATCACTGGGTCGGACAGTCGCGCAACAGACACGGACAGCAGCCTGCCGCTGCCTGGCGACGGACGGGGTCACATCGTCGCTCCGGCAGTTACATAACAAACACTGGCAGTGGAGACACGGGTCAGTCGCATAACAGACACGGACAGTCTCGCACCGGCTGAGGCACAAACAGTTACAGCTCACCACCGACCAGCCAACCACCGACCACCCCTGTCCAGTCTTCCCTCCGATTACCACCCGCTTCCTCCCGGCGGCCACTCACTTGGCCAGCAGCTCGATGAAGACGGCCGACGTCTCGACGTCGAGCGGCTCGGCGGCTGGCGAGGGAGGCGCGGCGGCGGCCGCGGCCGGCGGCGGGGGCGACGGCGCCGCCTGGCGGCTGACGGTGATGGCGAACCGGCCCTTCCGCACCGGCGTGCCCGGGTCCGTGGACGGTGCTGACGGGGGAGGGACGGGCGTCAGGGGTCAGCGTCCATTTTATCTCCAACGCGCCATGAGCATGATTAAAGATATCCACAAAAATGAAGATATCGGGCATCCGGCTCAAAACGCAGTTTTAGAAGAAATCGTTTGCCACAGAAAGTTCACGCAATGCGCATAGGTACTATCCAATGTTCAACGATGACCAAACACTATAAACATACTATCCAATCAGATGACCAAACACTATAAAAATATCACTGTTTCCAATTAATCTGGAGCAGCTGTCGGTGACTCACTGCTGGCGCCGCTGCCGGTGTGGAAGCAGACGCTCTGGATGGGCTGCGTGTGCGTCGTGTCGATCGGGCCCACCGTCTCCCACTGCGAGATGACGCCGTTCTCCGACTGCGTCGCCTCGTCGTGCGTCGACAGCATCGGCGTCGACGCCACGTGGTGCTGTCGGCCGGGGGGGGGGGGGGGGCGTCAGAATATCACGTGGGGCTGATTCGGCGGGCCTCGACTGCAGCGAGGGAGCGTGCGCATGACCAGTTCGTCCCAACATCGGAGGTGGTGTGGGTGACGGGTGGTGATTGCATGACTACACGTTATAGTACCTACATGACACGTTATGTAGCTTCTGCATTTTGAATATATCGTCAGCGCGCAGAAAATGAGACGGCAAGTTTTATCGCAAGTACCCACGGAGACCGGAGGATGTGTCGGGTGTTGATGAAAATACGATATGATGAGTATGACGAGTGGCTATGTGCGCATGGCAGGCAACTATTCGAAGTTATAACAATTTATTTGCTCACTGAGACACTGTAATCGAAGCAACTTACCAAATGTTCATCCGCTGGCTGCTCGAGAGCGGCGTGAAAACAACGACAAACGATAAAACAACGCTCACTCACGATTCACATCACGATTTTCAACATCACTGTAATTAGCCAGCCGGTGTGTATGGAAAAGGGAAAAAATAGTAGGTGCATCACTGACATTTTTACAACATTGCCACAGGGTAGGAATTGAGGAATGCCTTTTATACCTGAAATTTACTGCTAAACACAAACTCAACATTCCTTGGCCTCTTTGCAACGCACCATCAAAACAACAACAACAACAACAACAACAACAACAACAACAACAACAACAACGAGATAGGCCGCACATCACCAGGGAACTGGAGCAGTACGTAGTCTGTGATAGGTAGCAGCAATCTGTCGCCGGAGCCGGGAGACGGGCGGGCTCACTCACCAGCTGGTTTTTGCCGCTGTGCAGCTTCTGCAGCTCCTTGTCCAGGTCTGCCAGCAGCAGCGGCGTGGCCTTCCTGCCCCGCTCCGTGGTCTCGGAGCTGCTCGCCGAGCGCGAGACGTCCGAGGTGCTCTGCGGAGGGCGGCCGGGGAGCAGCGCGCGCCGCACGGTCAGCCACACACACACACAGACACACAGATCGACAGAGAGACGGGGCTGAGGACAGCGCAGGTGACACGGACCATCAACGGTCAGGCAGGAGACCAACTATTCGATGCGATAACGGCATTTGTACAAAGGCTGAGGCAAAAAGGTCCGATAAACATCTTTCGTCATAAAAAATAACAGAGCACTAACTACGTCCCGAAAATGCGACAGGAGTCTACCGGCGAAATACAAGTTACGAGGGTTAATATGGCATGGAATGATGCAGAAGCCGATAACGCCGCTAAACGCCTGTGAAAATGACGATAAACTAGTGGATCCGTGCTCAATCTACGTGGGGTCAGTAAAGAGAAAGCACGGTCTGGGCACCTTGCTCAGCGCAGCATGCACCAAACAGAGGACAAGCTGGACCCGAACGTTGCGGATTTCGCATTGTCGTAGAAGGAATGGCGCTGGGGACGGGAACAATCCAATGGGCGTAGTAAACTTATTGGGGAGACCACTCCAATTTGGCCTTGGTAATTCCTTGTTCAGGATGTTCATATTCAATTTGATTTGAGTGTTTAAATAACTAGGTATGTAACTACATCCACGCTTGCTAAGGAATCGTAATTTGTTCAATGTTCAGCTTTAGACACGAATAGCATAGACCGACAAAAGGCAATTATTTCTAGAAAACACGTCCTCCAAGTGTTCCACAAGACATCCACGAAATAACGTTGGATACATAAAACAAACATGCAATATAATATCGACACCTTTTTTTAACCCCACATCTGTTCTCCGGTGAATTTCCGGGAAGCACGAAAGATCTCTTTTTAGAAGTGTCCAATCGTCCGATCCTGATCAAATTTGTGTGTTCGTAAGCTTGCTCTGGCATTGCTTGATCTGCCAAGACAGACAAACTTGAGAAAAATCGAGTGACTGTACCTTTTTTGAAGGTTTCTAAACAACTTGTCTGAACTTCACGGGAGAACAAATGTGGGGTTTAAAAAAAGGTGTCGATATGTTGATCTTAATACTTTACTGTTCCTCAATACTGTTGATCAAGACTCAATACTTTCACGTATGAACAACACATAAGATAGAATTCATATCGCAGAAATTTGTATCATCCAGGAACATTAATTGATGGGATTCGAAAAAGTGTTATTCAATTGGCAGCCTACAAAAACGCGACTAGCATGCAAATGCCGTGTAATTTCAGAAGAAAAAAAACTAATTCATAAAGGCCATCAACAAGCCGATATACCTATGGCATCAGTCACAGACTTTTCCATATATAGAGAGGTCTGTGCACTAGTTAATAAAATGTGTAAAATTTCAAGCTGCAGTGCAGTATGCCAAACTGCAGCACTTCGAACGGTGCGGCAAGAAAACACAGTCCACGGGTGTGCCTGCGGGCCAGACCGGCCCAGAATTCACCCGTGCGCCCCTCTACCTACCAGGCCGTGAATCCCACCACCCACCAACCAGCCCCAGTGCGTCGGCCGTGAGCCCCTCCCGTGCCCCGCCTCCGCAGTGCGCCCCAGTGCGGGCCGCTGACTGCCGGCTGAGGTCACTCGTGCTCCCCGGCCCAGCCCTCTGCCAGTGCGGGCCCCGCGGGCGGCGTACCCGGGGGTGAGACGATGGGACGGAGGTGGAGCGCTCTGCAGTGGGCCGCGGAGACGGCGAGCGCCGAGCTGCGCCCGGCAGCGCGCCGGCAGTACGTACCGCTCCGGGCCGCAGGAGCGGCGGCGGCGGCGGCGGCGACAGGGGAGGGTAGCTCAGGGTTCTACCACTGCACAGCACGGCACACACAGACAGGCAGCCGGCGGCGGGGCGGGAGCGGGCGCGGGGGCGGCCTACATTGCGGCGGGCGGCGGCGGCGGCGGCGGCGCGCACCGCGCACGTAGCAGCCGACGACTGGCGGCGGGGCGGCTGTGAACACGGGCCGCCCACGTCAGAGGGGGCCACAGAGGGGTGTGTACAGACACAGCCGCGGCGGAGGACAGCTCACAGAGGGGCGCCCGGCTGAGACTGCCACCGCCGGAACACTGCGGGCCCGCTCTGTTAGACAACCCAGATAGGCAGATCCGATCGTATGGGGGGGGGGCTATATCGATACTACTCCCCTGAGGAGACAGTAGACATTGTGTCGAGTTCAATCCGATCATACTCTGACACTTAAAAACAAATAACTGCAGAGGGCAATCTCCGAGCATCGACAGCACACTTTGCACGGTGTGTGCCGCCGACGCTGGTATGTGATGGGTGAGATACGGCCACACACTGCACACAACGCCGCATTGCTGCAGTGCTGACACAAAACCACCACAAGTACCATCGCCGGGTCGGGGAATGAAGAGCGATCCGGTCACCACAACATTATGAACCCTACCAGCAGCAAAGTCGACTGGCAACCGGCAGTCGGACTGAAGCGGCCGCGACAGTGGTAAAGAAAAATATGGCAGCTAAAACAACAAAATAATTAAAGTGATTCGTCAGATATTGACGATATCTTTGGATTTTCAGGCTGATCATATAAGGTATAACTAGAATTGCAGCATATTTCAAAGGTAATTTCTAGCTTCCAAGCAACAGCACGCAGATTACTGAAGCTCCGTCCTCAGCTGGAGACAGACCTTCGCTTTCACAGCACACCCTTAACCAAGATTACTTTACTACTCCCCTTAACCCCTTACAAATCGAGCAAACTATCAGTGTAAAAAAGGAAATGCGGGCATTGCAGAAAACCGCGAGCAAAACCAGTTTGCTTCAGACCGTCAGTCTAACCCGCGCCCTCCATCATTCCTGCACACGTTGTGAAAATTTCAGACCAAAGTCGCAGTGGAAGGGGGGGCGGATTTCGCCCACCCCTCCTGTTTTTCGCCAATAACTCGCGCCGCGAGCATCATATCGATGTGAAATTTCGGCTACCTGTCCAGAATTGAATTGCAGATCTTCTCGGGCAAAAAGTAAGGAAATCGGTTCACACCTTTTCTAGTAATAGCTGTGTAAAGTCAAACATCCTGCCGCCGCGGCGGCCGGCGCTAGCCGTTACGCGCCGCCTGAATTGTAGACTGTGCCGGGGCGGGACGGTTCCGTCTTTACATCGCGCTCCTTACCGCTGATTATATTAGATTCGCGTCAAATTCGGTAAGAAGACTGAGAAATGTACAGGCAATCATATGGTCAAAGAATTTTGAAAATCGGCCGGTAACAACTTGAGTTATGAGTGTGTAAACACAAAATTGTGATTGCCGCGTTTCCCGCGTCGGCCGATGCCGCTTCAGCCGGCGACATCTTACCCTTAGCAGGCTTCTAACTGCCATATTTATTGTTGGATTATCTAGAAATTCACCATACATACTCAAAAATGTTTGTTCTTTCGTATAGTGAAAGATTTAAAAAAAAATCGGCCGGTAACTTTTTGAGTTATCGGCGTGTAAACGCAAAAAAGTCGCTAATATGGCACATTTGACCACATTTGACCTCATTTGACCTTGAAGCTATTGACCTAGGGTCATGAAATTCACACACAACAGAGTTCCCCATGGCCCCCACCTACCCTCCAAATTTCGTCTTTCTAGCTCCAGTGGGAGCTGAGATCTTAGGGGGGGGGCGACATCCGCCCCCCCCCCCTTCCACTGGGCGTAGTACTCGCAACCCTTCCACTGCGCGTGTTAAGGTCAGGTCACAGGACCCCCAGCGGGGCGCGGGTTTAAAGTGTTGCGTGGCTTTGTTGAGCGAATAGGGTCATTTATCAAGATAATTATTGCGATTGTAGCATTTTTCACCTAAACGTGCTTCAATGAGCAATTTCTGTCAGTCGAATAACAAGAAAATACAAATATAAAATGACCGATAACATCCATATAACATCAAACATAACAATTTAAGGCAACGAACTTTCAGCATGGTGCTTGTATAAATTATGTACAGAGCTGGGATTTTGATGAACAAAAAAAAAATCATAAATCACCACGCATGCAAGGCAATCACGCCGTGTGCTATCCATGCGCTTTTATTTTCCTCTCTGTGATATTCATTTACTCTATAGTCCAACCGATCTGTACTATTTAATATCGATTTAACGAAATAAAATATCAAATTAAGGGAAGGGTACGCTAATCAAGTGATCATACACGCAATGATACGGTTAAATCAGGCTTTATAACCAAGCGTTAGACGTCCTAGATCATCTGATTAACGCCCAGTAGTAACAGAAGCTTAATATTTTGGCAGTACATATCAGTGCCGTTCATAATTTGTGCAGAATGTGTATAGTCGACTACAGAATGATGTTCCACTCCTTAGGAGCTATCAGTTGACCGGAGCGCTAAGTTGTGCCGTTTATCACGCAATTAAGCGTGTTGATTGTGAGCATTGGGACAAAGCTATAATTTGTGAACTCAGCCCGTGTGATGCGGCACAGCCTACCACTTCAGGCAAATAATTGCCTGTGAAAAGTGGAACATCATTCTGTAGTCGACTATACATGTTATCCCAAGCGTTACTATCGAAGAAAGCACCGATCTTTGTAGGTGTGAAACCCATTCATCGCCCGCGCATTTCTCGAGCAGTGCCCGAGCATCTCCCGAGCAGTGCCCAAGCAGTGCCCGAGCAGCGTTCGGGCAGCGCCCGAATACCGCCCGGGATTAGTAGCCCGCATTACCCAAGACAGACACTACATACACGAACACTACACGGACTCCAAGCAGCAAACCAGCCAACTCTACAGTGCAGGGGTCAGTCCAAGCAGCATATCCAGCGAAGCGGTTCTACGCGAGCCGCCGAGCAGATAGAGAGAAACTGAGGTATCACCTGGACGACCACGCGCCGCGGAGTGGGCGGCGTCACAAGCACGCTAGGCGAGCGAGGCACGTCCAGCACGGACGACGGCTACACCGCGCGTCCGACCGTCCGGAGACAGAGAGACAGAGCAGACGGCCAGCGAGAGCACGGAGAGAGGCCCGGCGACGCGGGCGGGCGGGAGGGAGAGAGCGCCGAGTGAGAGCCGGTCACAGACACACACCGAGAGGGGACACACGCAGGCAGGGTGGGACTGTGCCACAGCGGGGGCGGGGGCGGCCACTGGCGTCCGACAGAGACTGGCAGTGAGGGGAGGTCGAGCCGGAGAGAGGCTCACAGCAGGGGGAAGGGATGGGGGGGGGGGCTGCGAGTGATCTTGGCACTACAGCGGCCACATAGACCCCAGAGCGGGAAACTCGACGAAAGCTACTGCGAAAATCAATAGCCATTCTAGATACGAATACAAATTCGTATAGGTGTTGTGGATGTCCGCTATCTTCGAGAATCACATCTCCCGCGGATAGTCACCGGGAGATGTCAAACGAACTGGATATAAGCCATTTTCCACCAAACCTTGCGCGGCTTCAAAATGTGGCGCACTCGAAAACATTGATATAGATATGTAATTTCGAATAAAAAAAAATACAATACAAGGAACTAAAAGAAGCAAAATTCAGTTTCGTTGGCATTTTATAACTTAAAAGGCAAATCCAACAAGGTTTTCCGGCCAACAGCGCCGTACTACCATTCCAGAAGCAGCGAGGCGTTTGCGGTAGGTTCCGTCGAGTTTCCCTAGCGTGTCGACAGAGACATTCAATAAGCTACTACGACACTACGACGGTCAGGCGACAGTGCGACACCCCAGTAGGTGCGGGGGGGGGGGCACACACGAGCGGACGGCCGCGGCGGCCCGCTCACAATCGGATGCGGTTAGTGAAGTGACACTGCTGCGGTTATTTAACGGCACGAGCACACGGACACACGGACAGAGTCCCACGGCCGCGGACTGGAGGTTCGCCCGGCGGTGGCACCGGTCTGCCCTGGGAGCTCGGCGGGACGGCCGGCGTCCCTGAGAGCTCGGCGGGACGGCCCGGCGTGCTGTGAGGTCGGGAGACGGCCCGGCGTGCTGAGAGGTCGGGGACGGGCCGGCGCACCTCACCTGTACGGAGATGAGCTGCTGGGCGCCGGAGCTCTCCGGGGCGGGCCTGGCGGCCGCCGGGTCCGGGTCGCCGGCTCTCGCTGCAGACCCCGCCTGCCGTCCGGACACATCGCGTCAGTCCGGCTCGGTCAAACCGCCCGAATACATACGTGCCAGCAAATCGAGGAGCAGTCGTGTTCTCAGAATCTGACACTTGACAGCTGTAGGAATTTTTGCAGTTTCACTATCCTGCTCTCTCATTTCAGTCTCAGCAGTTTACCGGCAAGTGGTAACAATGACAAGAGGAAGGTTTTGCTTTGAAGTACAGTTCACCTTAATATGTTTTTCAACTGACGCCGACATACAAATACACCAAAAACACAACACCTGACAACCCCGGGCTTCAAACGTGAAGAAACAGTGCACCAACGTAACAACACATAAACAAGGCGAGTGTGCACACACACACACACATGCCGTGGATACCGTGTAAATGTCTGTGTCATAATTGAGGTAACAAAGGCGCTACACCACAGAACTACTACGTGCTAACACCGTCCCGTTCAAAGAACTTAGCAAGCCCCGTCAGCCGAAACCAAGATAGCGGCTAACAAGATGAAACAGAACGAAGATGTGTCAAGGTTGTGTGTTCCCGTTCCTATCGTTCCATACTGACCAAAACCAGGGCAAAACAAAAAGCGCAACTAAATCTCCAGTAAAAGCCAATCATGTGATACGTCGTCCTCCTGCCGACAAATACTGCGAACCCTTCACCCGCGCTCGTCCCTGGCTGCTGCACACTGAAAGCTAACACCAAAAGCGACAGCGAAGCGATCGACAAGTCCCCCAAACGCAGCGGCGGCGGCGGTGGCTGGAGTCGCGGCCGGCGCCGGACACGAGCCGCTGGCGACCCTCGCCGGCCCACGTCACTCACAGCGAGGGGGACCGGTGCGGGCGGCGCGAACAGCAGCACCGCCGGCGGGGACGGGGCCACGCCCCCTCCCCCGCCCCCGCCGGCGGCGGCGGCGGCAGCGGCGGCGGGGTCGTCGCAGTGCCAGCTCCACGGGCGCAGGGAGCCGCCGCGGGAGCCGCCGGAGCCGGAGCCGGAGCCGGAGCCGGAGGGAGCCAGCGAGTCCTGAGCCGGCGGCCGACACCGTCACACCACTCCTCAGCGTCTCACGGCCCGCCCGACCGTCACCAGCACACACATGCACACGGTACTAACAACGGCCGCGCACTCAACCCACACAACGAGACTGCTCGACGGGGAGCGAGAGACAGAGAGCCAGACTAATATCGCACAAATATCAGAATAGCTCAGAGGCCAAAAGAACGAATTTTCCTAAAACATCTTGGACATTTTTCTACATTCGATTCCTCGTGCAGCTCATCTGTGTACATAAATTGAAAATATTGAGTGGTTACCCTATCTTATTTCATTTATACACATTTCGACTTCGGTGACGAAGTTGTGTGGTAGGGAGCTCGTATAACTTTATAACTTATAACTTTCGTATAACTTGTAACTTTATAGGTATAACTCGTATACTTTCTTACGAGAACAGTAAAACTCAGCTACTATGACAATCGAAACGGTACCCTCGCTTTTTTCAAAAAGCCTACATCTAACTTTTTCAAAATTTGCGCCAACTCAGTGGCGTTATTTGAGGTACAAGGATGTAATTGTGACTTCAGTTTACTTCAGCTATACTTTGCAGAGAACCGGCTTGCTTACGGCCGAAATATTAATGTTTTTTTTCCAAAGAACGATCGGTTCGGGAAACGGATGAGTAGTCAGCTGCTGTATTTCATCATAAAACATACGATTTTGTTGAGCGAAGCAGGCCGTTAAATGTTTTTATTCACTTATTCAGTCTCTGAGCAAAAGATGTAACAGCGTGCACGCTCAAAATTATCGGTAGTAAAAGCACCACGGTCAATCAGGCTAATCAAATCAAATTCACGTTGGTAAGGGACAGGACGGCGCAGCATGACAAGCGTTAGGCACTTCACACGTAATATTAGTTGCATGATTGTTGCAGAATTGTGCAATGGCTGGATCAGAGGTTAAGTTGTGTCTCGTGAATGCATGATGTACGCGCGAGATGTATGGCAAGTACCGACAAAAATGAACGAACGAACGAAAGAACGAACGAACGAACGAACGAACGAACGAACGAACGAACGAACGAACGAACGAACGAACGAACGAACGAACGAACGAACGAACGAACGAACGAACGAACGAACGAACGAACGAACGAACGAACGAACGAACGAACGAACGAACGAACGAACGAACGAACGAACGAACGAACGAACGAATGAATGATAAATGAATGAATGGGTGGATGAATACCATGTTCGATTCATTTTGACGACTAATTGGTGGTAAAAGGTTACTGTATGTGCGTGTAAGCAAGCATCTATATGCCAGAGTGAATAAAGGAATGAATAAATGTTAGTGGATGAGTGTTGTTAGCACCGCGCCGACCTCAAAGTGTCCGCCGGACGTGCCGCGGCCGACTCACCGTCTGCGCGGCCGTGATGCTGGCCAGCCGGCGGTTCACCTCGGCAGCCACATCGGCCGCCGGCACGGCAGAGAACACGGGCGTCGACGGCTGCGAGGCGGCCTCGAACGAGCCCTCCGAGGCGGCCGTCAGGCGCACCAGCTGCTTCCGGAGCTCCTCCAGGTTCCCGACACCACTGGCGGGGCGGGTCGGGGCGGGGCAGCGGGTCAGGGGTCGTGCCGGTCGGACGGACGGGAACCATACAGCCGCCGCCACCAGTCCCTGCCACCAGTGTCCATCCCTTCCTCTATCCCTCATCTGTGTCCTCCTCCCTCCTAATCGCGTCCTATCCCACCGGTTTACAGCTGTCCCGGCCGCCCATCCGGCCTACCTATGCTCAGTGTTCTGCGGCGAGAAGGACAGCTCCGGGGACGCGCCGGCCACCGTCAGCTCGTCGAGCGCGGCGCTGAGGGTGGGCGCCGCGGCCGCTGCCGTCGGGACCGCGGCAGCCGCGGGGACGGTCTGCGCCCCGGCCGCTGCCGTCGGGACCGGCGCGGCCGCGGGGACGGTCTGCGCCTCGGCCGCCGGCGCCGGGTGGCTGATGGGCGCCCGCGTCACGCCCACCGTCTGTGTGACGGCCGCGGCCGGCGCGCCCGACGACGCCACTGTGATGGAGAACCGGCCGGCCACCACGGGCGCCGGCCCGGCGGGCGGCGCGGCGCTGACGGCAGCCTCCGACAGGCCGGCCGCCGTGAACACCGCAGACGCAGACGGCTGAGGGACAGACCAGAGACGGGTCAGAGCAGGGCTACAGAGAAACAGGTCCACACATACTCCATTTTTGCACATTCGTTGCATGCTGACAAGATATGCATATTAGTTGAGATGAGCTGGAACTTTGGAAAGAAAACAGATATCGGTGGGTTGGTGGACGGGAAGGGGAAGAAAAGGTGATATGCAGGACTTATGCAAATATGAAATAAATTGTGCGGTCACACGGCTGTGCGGGCTGTCATGTGGTCGCCTAGCGCAGCTGGCCGGAACGGATCGCTCGAACTCGGTGAATCTGCGTGTCTCACCTGAGTCTCGGCGCTGGGCGAGTGCGGCGTGGACACGGGGCTGGTAGGCGCCGCCGTCAGCGCTACCGAGCTGACCACGAACCGGGACAGCCTCTTGGGCGCCTGTCGCGGACACCACGCCGGGTCAGAGGCCGCGCGGCGCCGCGGCGGGGACACGGTACAGCGAGCTGCGGCGGCAGGGGCGGAGAGTGCGGAAGGCGCCAAAAGCGGAACAGCGGACACGGGACGCGGCGGAAGCAGAAGCAGGGCGGGACTGGGGACGCCATGGCGGATGGAGCTGGGGCTGGGTCTGATTTATAATCCGGATCGGAGTCGTCTTAGAGGCCGAATTCGTTTGAGTCAGGCCCTGGAGCCGAGTCATGAACTGGCCATGGGTCTGGGCTTCGATTTGCACTAGCGCTGTAGCAAAGGCATTTTTAAGCATTAAGCTGATCTAAAACGATCATTACTTTTACGTACAGTGTAGATGGGGCACATAGAGCCGGATGAGAAAAAATTCAACATCTTAATTCTTAGGGAATTTCCTTTACTTGACAAACAAGCGACAAATTAGTTTGAGGAATGATCCATCGAGCTCATTGCATCATTGAGATTGCCAATGGTTTGCTTCGCAGAAAATTTCAAGGCAACATTTGAAATAATTAGATGACATTTTAGTCGATTTGTAAACGAAACTTCTAGGCCATGACGTGGATTCAGCAAGGAAGAGAAAATAATGTCATCACTAAAATGAAAAATGACAAATAAATCCAGACAAATTTTCCTAGGTATTGTAGCAATCAGCGGTAAAGCGTCAGAATCAGTGTGCGGGAGGTGGCATGGATTAATGGTTAGCGTATCAACCAGTGAGCAACTGTATCATAACAATCAGCGACACACCAAACACCAGTTAATGTCTGATCCTGACTCGTTCTCCTGTTTGTCAAGTAACACAGCAGCAAACACAGCACAGGCCGGGGATGCTGCTCTGAAACCCGCGACCGGTCACGCTGCACGGCACGTATGTGTCTGTCTGTCTGCGGCTACAGGCAGCTGACGTCAGCGGGTCGTGTCAGCGGGTGTGCCAGCACCGAGAGAATGCACCGGAAACGACCAGCGCCAGAAGAAACGAAAGCAGCCCAGCCCAAGCAGGATGGAATGTCATGTGGGTACCCTGAAAAACCAAGGACAACCTGAAAATGGCAGCAACTAAAACAACCAACTCTGTACAAGCAGTAATCATCCAAACAACGCAATAAAAATCATCCCAGCTAGCTAGACTCTAGCTAGAGCATCTAACTAGCTATTCGACAGCAGACAGGTTTCAACGGAAGCCGAGGTCACGGCCGGTCACCGACGCCGGCCACAGTCGGTCCGCGCGGCCGTCTCCCAGAGGACAGCTCGCCGAGCTCCGGCGCCCGCCGCGCGGCCGCACACCAGCCAATTTGAGACCATTTTGACCCCGATCCCAATCACGCTCGTAACAGGATGACCCACGATAGCGAGCGATGAACAAATGTCACACTTTGTCTTGATACAAATGTCTTTCAAGTTTTCCCATGTCTCTGCACTTTTGGTTCCACACAGAATGGTGTCTCCCTTGAGAGAAAGTTCAAGCTCCAAGTCCGTTCGCACAGAGCAGCCAAGGTCTGCACACGTTTGGCAATCAACAGAAGCCACCAAAACCAGAGAAACTTAGAGAGCCAGAACGCCCCGACTGTATAGAGGGCGGCGCGGAGGCGCGCCTCGCCAGTACCCAAGGGCAGATAGTGAAATAGATAGATAGAGGCCTCGTCCGGGGCTGAGCGGTGCTCGATTGCGCGGCGGCGGCGGCGGCGGCGGTGGCCGGCAGGAAGCCTCGGAGACGTGCGGGGAGGCCAGACACCAAACACGACAGGCGGCCGGCCGGCTCGTGCGCTGCAGGCGGTCCGGCGACAAGCGGCGGGAGGGCGGCGGCGGCGGCGGCTCACATACCTCGGCCGCGGCGGGGGCGGGGGCGGCCGCCGGCGTCACAACACTCGCGGCGGCGGCGGCGGCGCTGTAGACGGACGCTGGCTGCTGCTGCGGCGGCGGCTGCTGGACGGCGCTGGGCAGAGTCGACGCCGGCGGCTGCGAGGCGGCCGGCAGGACGGCGGACACCGGCAGGGGGACGCTGGCAGGACCCGACACTGGCGGCGGCTGGACGGGGAGCGGCTGGGGCGGGGTCTGGTAGTGCGGGGCTGGCTGGGATACGGTCTGCAGAATAGACACTGCTGGCTGGGACAAAGACTGGTGGAGAGACGCTGGCGGCTGGAGCCCGGTCTGGACAAGAGATACTGTCGGCTGGGATAGAATCTGTTGGATGGATACCGGCGGGTGGGGCACGCCCTGGTGCAGAGACACTGCCGGCTGGGACATGGTTTGCTGGAGAGAGGCCGGCGGTTGTGGCACGGCCTGGTACAGAGATAATGCCGGATTGGACACGGTGTGGTGCAGCGCGGCCGGCGGCTGCGACGGTGTCGGGTGCAGCGCGGCCGCCGGCTGGGCGGTGGCCGGCTGGTAGAGGACCGTCGGCTGCTGCGAGGCCACCGTGTAGTAGGAGGTGGGCGGCTGGTGGGCGCTGGGAGCCGGGTGGGACGCAGCGGCCGGCTGATAGGACACCGCCGGCTGACTGACGGACATGGGAATCTGCTGGGGCACCGCCGGCTGGGACATGGGAATCTGCTGGGGCACCGCCGGCTGGTGGGACGAGCCGGGCGGCGGAGCCTGCGGCTGGGACGCCGGGGCCTGGGATACAGCCGGCCTGGCACCCGCAGCTTGGGACACTGGGTGTCCGGAACCTGAGGCTTTGGAAGCTGGCGGTCTGGGTTTATGCGTCTGGGACACGGGCGGTTTGGACACCACCGGTCTGGAGGCCGGAGCCTGGGACACGGACGGGTGAGAGGTCGGAGACTGGGACGCCGGGGTCTGGGGTACCGGCGCGTGTGACACGGCAGCCGCGGACACTGCTGGCTGGAACGTCGGAGGGAGGGACGCTGCAGGCTGTGACGCCAGCGGCTGGGAGATGGGCGGCGGGTGGTGAGCCGGCCAGGCAGACGGCTCAGGGTAGTGGCCCGGCTGCGCCGGGAGGCCGGGCGCCGCTGCCGGCTGCGGCAGGTGGCCGGCCGGCAGAGTCGGCGCTGCCAGCGGCGGCGGCCGCACGGTGGCCGTGGCCAGCGGCGGCAGCGGCGGGAACGCCTCCAGCGAGAGGCCGGGAGCCGCCAGCTGGGCGGCCGCCGAGCCCAGAGCCACCGACACCGGCGCCGGCATCTGCGGAGGGCCCGACAGCGGCGCGCCCGGCGCCGGGACGCCCATGGGTGCAGAGGCGCCCGCGGGAGCCGGGATATGTGCTATGCCGGAAACGGATGCCGGACCGGAGGCGGGGGCAGAGCCGGACACGGGCAGCTGGTGGGCAGAGGGCAGGGAGGCCGCCAGGGCCGCGGCAGAGTTGGCGGCCGGCGGGTGGAACGGGCCGCCGGAGGAGGTCGGAGCGGGGTGCGGGTGGCCGGCCAGGTGCGCTGGCGTCGACAGCTGGGCGGCGTACGAGGGGTGCGCCGCACTGCCGGCCGGGTGCAGCGGCTCGGCGGCCGGCGCCGCCGCGTGGGCCGAGAAGGACGCCGGGTGGACCGGGTGGGACTGCGGGAGCGGGTGCGGCCGGTGCGGGTCCCCCACCTGGGCCGTCTCGGCCGGGTAGGCGGCGGCCGCGGCGGCCGAGTGCTGCAGCAGAGCCGTCAGCTGCTGCGGCGTCAGCGAGACGATCTGCAGGCCGTGCTCGCCCTGCAGCAGCACCGGGTACGAGCCGCCCGGCACCGACAGGTACGGCACCGCAGCCGCCGCCGCCGCCGCCGCCGCCGGCGCGGCCGGAGCGGGCGCGGCGGCCGGCGGCGGCTGCCAGGGCGGCTCGGCGGGCGCCGGCCGGGCGCCACCCGTCGGGCGCGCAGGCGGCTCTTCTCTCTGCCGGACACGGACACAGGAGGTCACGCGAGGGACGGGGGCGGCGCGGCCCGGTGGCCGGGTGCAGTGGGGCTCGGGGCGGCGCACCGACCTGCTCGTCGTCGAAGGAGGGCTGGCGCCGGTGCAGGGAGCCGGCGGCGGCTGGCGCGCCCAGACTGCCCGTCGACTCGAGCAGCAGGTGCTGGCGGATGATGGCGCGCAGCTGCTCGCCGAAGTACTGGGCGTCGTCCCTGGGCAGCAGATGTGCCTCCGTCTGAGGGGGCGCGCGAACGCGTCAAAACACGGCGCCGCAGCCCGCCGACCGGCGCTGTTGTGAGAGTCAGCTACTGACCAATGCCACAGCTGGTACAGTCACTCACAGGAAGCACAGAGTAAATACATCACCGCTGATCAGCTTTCACACAACAGTGGCCAGAATAACCAAATGCCAACCACGACTAATCAAAGGTGAAAAGGTTGACCCCGAGTAAAACATTTCTTTAGCAGGAAAATCGAATTTATCACCCAGTCAGCTTGCAGACAAACATTTGCTCTCCAAACGATGCCCAGGTCACAAAACACGTCGGTTCATTTCCGCGTGTCTGACCATTTTGTAAGAGATGGCCGAGACGTCTGCCTCGCGCAGGTCGAACTTGAACGTGATGGCCTGCGACTGGTTGGTCTCCAGCAGACAGGAGACTACCGGACCGTTGTCGCTGCTCTTCACCTGCCAGCGGACGAGATAATGCCAGCGACGAACACGCAGGCCATGTTCACGAACACCAGACCATCAATTTATGGTATCACTGCGCTAGGTTGTCAACTGCAATCAAAATGTCGCAATGTGAACATCCCGGGCATAACGATTCAATCACAATTCACAGCTAACCAAGCCGGTAGCTACAAGAGTGGCCTCGACGTGCACCTCAGCACACTCCCGTCATTATCACCTCCTTTGCCTCGACGGGACTTAAGTCTCAAACGGATCGGTACTAACCGTTAAACAGTTAAGGTCGATCGATCAATCACCCATTACGCTGCTGACTCACCGTCCCCCACTGTGTGTGAGTCATACTCAATGAATCGGCCGGGCCCGCGCACATACATCACCCGCTCAGGAGACACAAACACCCGCCGTCGTCCCCGCATATCCCGGTCCCGGGCAGCAGCTAGTAAACGGGGCGACACAGGCAGAGACAGCTCACCTCGAGCACCGTGAGGCGGGGCAGCCGCTCGCCCGTTTTGCGCCGCCGCGACGGTTTGCGCTTCTCTCGCTTTTCGGCGGCAGCTGACGCCGCCTCGCCCTCGCTGGTCGGCTGCGAGCTCTCGGCCGTAACCTGGCGGGTCAGCGTCACATGTGTCCGGGTCACGTGATGGCGGTCGGAAACGGTCACGGAACACAACAGAAGCGGACGGGAAGGGGAGGGGGAGGGGGAGGTCGTCCGACGGCAGACACATAAACCGCAGTCGTAAAGTCGGCGAGCCGTCAGGGGCAGACACGGCAGGCGGCCGACACCGCGGCGGACACCGCAAGTAAAAACGGCGGCCAGTTGGGCCAGCGGGTCCTCAACCACTCACGGGACAGTGGCAGTGACATATTCCGAACATCTTTTCAGTCGTATAACCACACCCGAGACTAGAAAACAAAAACGAGCCAATGATTAATTTTTAAGTGGATCAAACGCAGAAAAAAAGTAAACAAGAAGCTGCATAGTTGACACAAAAGGCAAATGAAGGAAAAATAAATGTTCTTATGCCCTAGGAATGCTTAAAAAAAAACTTCATTAGAAACTGGCAACATGCAGCAAATTTCAGCGGGGTACAGCAAATTTACACCCAGGAGGAAGAATGCAGCAATTGGAATGTCACACTAGCTCAGCTAGGTGTCGTTGACCTGAAATAAATTTTAGTGATAGGTTTTTATATGCTCATCCCAAATCGGCCACGCGTGCCCGAGCGCCGTGATTGTGCTCACGTCTGCTGTGGCCGGGTTGAGCTGTGTCCGGGGCGGCACGTCGCCGGCCTGCAGCAGCTGCGGCGCCGAGGCGCTCTTCTCGTCGGCCGCGGCCGCCGCCAGGGGAGCAGCGGCCGGCGGCGGCTGGGACGCCTGGTGCTGCACCAGCGGCGCCGGCTGCGGCGGCGGCGGCTGGGTCTGCTGCTGCGGCTGCGGCAGCTGCTGAGACTGCGGCGCCGCCGGCTGCTGCTGCGCCTGCGCCGGCGGCAGCTGGGCGGCCGGGAGCGGCTGCGAGTGCGCCTGCTGCAGCGGCTCCGGGTGCAGCTGCTGCGTGGGCGGACACTGCTGCGAGTGTGCGTGCTGCGGCTGCTGCTGCGCCGACTGCGGCGGCTGCTCGGGGTGCGGCAGCTGCTGCTGTGGTTGCTGGGGGTGCTGCTGCTGCTGCTGCTGCTGCTGCTGCTGGGGCTGCTGCTGAGTCTCGGCTGTCTGCGGCGGCGGCTGCTGGGCCGGCGGAGCGGAGCCGGCCGGCTGTCCGGACGCGGCGCTGCCGGCCGGAGCGCTGCCGTGCTCACGGCGCTTCTCCTCGCGGGCGCGGCGCAGACTCTGGATCTGGTTACTGATCAGCTTGGCCACAGAGCGGGCGTCCTCCTCCGTGAGGATGCCGGACATCACCTGTGGCGGGAGGGGGGGGGGGCGGACCCGCGCCATCAGACACCCGCTGGCTGCAGCGGCCAGCAGAGGCGCCGGTACGGAACACCCGCTGGCTGCAGCGGCGCGGAGGCGACGGCACGGACAGGGGAATACCAGTCCGACGTACGGCGGACCGCACGACGGCACCGCGCCGGCTGCCAAGCCAGATAATATTGACCGCATTTACGTATTATAGCCCCGCACGCGAATAAACGCCCAGTCGCGGGATCCGGGAGCGCAGGTCCATGATTCGTACGACTGTGATGGAAGTGCTGCAACATATGTTGTCACGCAAACTCAAAAACAAGGCAATATTTCGACGTGTCTATCAAAATGGACAGTTTTGTATCTATTGACTTCGCCTGTCAACGGGCATTAGCCCGTTGGTGATGTAAGAATAAATGAGCAAATCACAGCTACGGCCCAAAAACGGCACAGACATCCCACGGCGCCCCGTTCAGCGGCCTCACCATGTGTTTGGCGATCTCCTCTGGGTTGTCCTTGTTGAGGTTGTAGTTGAACTGGATGGCCTCGTTCTCCTTGTGTTTGTCGCGCCGCTTCTTGGCGTCCAGCACCCGGAGTCGCAGCTCGACCACGCTGCCGTCCGAGCTGATACTCTCCTCCCGGTTGGCCACGTCCAGGCGCATGCCGCAGTCCTCGGCGAAAAACTCGTGGTTCAGCAGCTGTTTGACAGTGGGCCGCTCCGTCTTGTTGAGCCGCGTGCACCACTCGATAATGTCGCGCATCTGGGAGTCGTCGATCTTGTCGAAGCTGGACGGCTTGATGCCCTGTGGAAAGAACAGCTTAATCAAAATCAGTGTATGGTGTCCACGTAAGTCAGGCTTCTGCTGAAAATCGAAACATGTCGGCAAATTAGAGCACAAATTGCATACCTAATGAATATCAATACTAAATGAGCCTAGGGTGGTCGTGTTTTGGTTGACCAAATTCAATAACATTTATTTGTATAACAGTTACGTCATCTAGAAAATAACAAATAACAGAGCCGAACTCAGCGGAAGGCCCGTTCCAATCGACGTCATTTGTACAAAGGCGTTTTACAGGTGCCTGACGGCAGTAAATCTAGTTAACCGTTCCATCTCATAATGTTCGAAAACAGTCACATAAATTTGGAAGAAAAAAAACTTTTTGATTTATCTGACACGAACGGGTCGACAAAAAAAAAAAACACCAGGCACCGCGCAATCAACGAAGTTGATCATATTGATTGAAACCGGAAATGTCAAGTCTGGCTCAGTCATAGAAAACAACTTCGAAAATGAGTTCCTCAGTGTCCGTGTGGCGACGAGCGACGCCTTACTTCTTAGGAATGCGAGACAGGAAAAGTGCGGTAAGCCATGCCTTTTCAATAGCAAACCGCGGCAACAATGTAGCTCGGCGAAGCTACAGCCCCGTCTGAATCGGCGAAAATACAATAGCAAAATGAATTGGTGGTGTACCCAACCCTGCCCACAATGTGTGATTACGGAGCGAGCGAAGCGAGCGTAGTCTCGGAAATTTCTGAGTATGAGCGGCCGGCCGGCCGGCCGGCCGTGCGGACGCTTTTGCGAGGCTTATATCTCAGCAACCACTTGACCGATTTACATGCGGTAAATTTTGTAGGGTAGCTTCATTCCTTCTACCAAGTATTGGACTATTCCCGATGCATGTGGGTGACCCCTTATGCACGTGCCACGTGCAAAACGAAGAGGTGTCAGTTTTGTAATTGTTGCAATATCTCGGTAACTACTTGGCCGATTGCGCTGAAAGTTGGCATGTAGGTAGGCACCCACTAGGCCCTGCATATCCATGTGCCAGAGTTGGGGTGCTGCTGCACGTGCGCACGTGCAGGGGTCGTTTCCAGATCTCGAGAACGGCTCGACCGATTGCGCTCAAATTTGGTACACAGTTAGGGACCGGTTAGTAGGGTGCCGTGCACAAGTCAGTTGGGACCCATTTTGCACGTGCGCACGTGCAGGGTGCCGCTTCGAGATCTCGAGAACGGCTGGGCCGATTGTGCCCAAATTTGGCACATCGCTAGAGACCGGTTAGTAGGGTGCCGTGCACAAGTCAGTTGGAGGTACCCCCTCGCAATTTCGCACGTGCAAGGCCCACCCTCTCGCTCGCTCCGTTAGTCGCCCCAAAAGGCGTTATACTGGTTGTATGGGCGTCAAACAACGCAAATATGACTCAAACGTGTCTGCATTGTAGGAATCTAGAAACAACTGCAATTAATTGACTGCTAACTGATGGGATATACGTTACTTATGACTTAACTACCAAAGCTTAACACTTCTTCCGTATCCCTGCAATGCGTTTCGCTAATGTTTCCTTTATAGAGTACACCAACCTAAGTGGGCGTGCACGACAAAGTCCTGTTCATGCAAAAAAAAAAAATCGCCCGTGACACTCAAGATGCGTAACAATCAACCCCAGACCAGTGACTACCACCTCGTGAAATACCGGGGGTGTGGGCTGCTTCACTAGTCGCCCCATCCAGCGGACCATAAAGCGTGGCTCCCTCCGTCCCGCCACTCACCGTGATGACCTTCTTGTAGATCTGTGCCGGGCCGGTACACTCGGAGTACGGGTACTCGGACGTCACCATCTCCAGCATGCACATGCCGAAGGCGTACACGTCCACGGCCTCGTCATAGTGCTCCTCGTACACCTCGGGCGCCATGAACTCGGGCGTGCCTGCGGACACGGGCGGTCAGGGAACAGTCAGTGTCTGTGGACGGGCCACGGGGACGGCAAGGTACGGACGGAACGATGAGGACGACGGACGGACGAGGTGCGGACGGTGCACAGAAGGGGTACTGGGAGCCCATCTGGGAGAGTTCGGAGCCCGTCATCCGATCGAAAGGTGGGGCGATGGCACGGGACCGGAAAGCGAGCATGACACAATGCTGAAACAGTGCAAAGATTTACAAACTGAGTGAGAAGGCGGATTGTGGGCCAATGTGGCTGGTAATACATCAGAACTCGAACTACATCAAAAACTACATCGAGCTAAATTACCGGGTGAAGTGCCCATACGCTTCAATGCGCGCACACGTTTCGATGAAAGCCTAATTTCCCAATTCTGAGTTTCACAACACATCAAACGGTAAAAGTTTTAGTCGCGCTTCCGTCGGGACGTCTGCTATGCACGTGGCCCAGCTCCGAACATATCTCTAACCAAATCAGCTGCGAGACGTACCCAGCGCATTACAAAAGCTGCTGCGGTCGCTCGGCATTCCCGTTCGAAACGATGTCACCGCGGGTCACCGGAGCCACCAGCCGCCGCCGCATATGGAGGCAGTCCGTGCTGCCGCCGGAATCTCCGCCGCATACGGAGGCAGCCCGTGCTGCCGCCGGAATCTCCGCCGCATACGGAGGCAGTCGGCCGTGGCCGCCGCCACTGAGTCAGGCCGGCCGGCCGCGGCCCGGGTCCGATCGGCGCGTGACGCAAACCTGACGCTCCGCGGCGGCGGCCGTTCCCAGAAGGGGCGACCGCCTCCCGACAGTCCCCCGACGGGCTGAGCCGCGCCGCCGCCGACCGCGGAGAGAGCCACAAAACGGCCCAGCACCGGCCGTACTCACCTATCACCGACTTGGCGAACGAGCGGTTCTTCAGTGTGGCCAGACCGAGGTCGCCGACCTTGACCTGGCCGGTGGTGCCCGATATGAAGATGTTATCACACTTCAGATCGCGGTGAATGATGGGCGGGTTTCGAGAGTGCAGGAACTGAAGGCCCTTCAGGATCTGACGGCACCACGAGCTGATAATCTTCGGAGACACCTTCTTCTGACCAAAGTTCTTCAGGTATCTGAAAGCATGACGCAGTTGTGGCAACCGTCAGTTATTTGCTCACCCGTAGCTCTTAATCGACCCAACAGACACACAGTGGCGAAAGATAGTATCGCGTGTCATTTCGTGGAGCAGCCGGATATGCTATATCCGTCGTCAAATAGGTAGGGGCAAACAAAAAATGTCCAATAACCGGAGTAGGAAAATAGTTACTGTCGCACCAACGAACCATGACTGCAGTAGCGAACAATGAAACTGTCACAGCGCCATTATATGACGCAAATAGACCACTTCTCATTCATCCGCACTTGGCGGACATTTCATTCTGTAGAGCATCATAAAAAGTATTGAGTGAATTGCATCTTATCAAAATGCACAGTCCAATTGCCTCTTTGACTTATAGTTACCTACCTCAAACACTCACTCGAAATGTGGAGATCGTTGAAAAAAAAATCCCAAATCTAGAAGAAAAAATAACCCCCAGAAGTTCAGCCATTATCCTTTATGTGTTTATTCTCAACGCGGGATACACCCATTGCAAACTTCAAACCAAGTTCCACATCCACGAGCCGATAATTTTCATTCGTGACCCGCGGTTCCCGATTAGGGCACTGAACCCACGCCCTCTCTCATAGCCTCACGTTTTGAGCGTCCGAAAATCCTGTCCGGACCCATCTACCTCACCCTCCGGCCCCGGCGCGCGCTGAGCTCACGCCCCGACCCGGCGAACCGGGCCCGACTCACGTTCGGAGCGTCCCGGAGGTCATGAGCTCCGTGACGAGCACGATGCACCGGCGGCGGATCTTGTCCACCTCCCAGTACTCGAAGAAGCGGACGATGTTGGGGTGCGTGAGGCCCTTCATCAGGTCGGCCTCCTCCCGGAACCGGTCGCGCTCCTTCTTACTCAGTCGGTTGCCGCTCATCTGCAGAGGGGAGGGGCGGGGTCAGAGGTCAGCGTTTAGCAGCGGTTAGGCTAGCGTCGACTACAGAATGATGTTTCACTTTTCACAGACAATTATTTGCCTGGCGTGGTAGGCTGTGCCGCATCACACGGGCTGAGTTCACAAATTATAGCTTTGTCCCAATGCTCACAATCGACACGCTTAATTGCGTGATAAACGGCACAACTTAGCGCTCCGGTCAACTGATAGCTTCTGAGGAGTGGAACATCATTATGTAGTCGACTATACACGGCCGGTGGTGGGCTTTCAGGACGAGTGACCAATGCTGAGGGGTCAGTGTTTGATGGATCACATCAGTACGTTACATAAGTCATGGCAAAGCAAACAAATGCACTTTGAACATGAAACGCACATTACTGTGAAAGCAATCAAAACACGGCACGGCGCCAAGAACTCTGAATCCTTTGAATACGTTAGAAAAGCATTCGTCACATCACACGCCGCCAAAGGTCAATGTCCGACATCTGGGATCAGAACATGACTGCTGGTCTATTACATAGTAAACAATGATTCAACACCGAAGCAAAGGACCAATGGGCGCAAAATGACCCCAGCAGTCGTCGCGCCCTAAAACTCCAATAAACAAACAGAAGCAAAGGACCAATGCATTGTACCACGAACCGACGACAAAAATTACTTTCATTTTTCGTAAAATTAAAGGGACTATAAATGCAGAAAACATAACATGAAACAAACATCATAGGTGCTCCTTTCAAGTTGCGCCGAATTTGAGGATTAATGGCCCACCGTTCCGTGCTTCTATCCTCAGGATACTGAAATCCTTATCCACCACGCCGCAACCCCCCTCCGGGCTGGACAGGCAACTTTATCTCATGCGGGCTGCTCGCTTGGAGCGGCACCGCTGCTCCCGAGGGAGCGCACCCCGTAGCCGGGTGCAGTGAGTGCCTTGGGGCTGGGTGGCCTGTCCTCTGGACGGGCTCAGCCCCGGCGACTCACTAGGGTGCCTGCCCAGACCAATGTCTCCCCCTATATCCTATCATCCTCCCGGCTCTGAAATGGTCTCATTGGACCGAAAGGGCCTAACCCAAAAAAAAAAGGATTAATGGCATCTTTGAGATGGTGCGGTTCAAATTTGTGCCAGTAAAGACGCTAATAATAATATTAACTTCACACAAGTGATCGAATGAAAAGAGGAAAGCGTGCCACTTACGTACTACGTTTACCCCTTCAGCATCAATTTCAGTTAGTTCCCCTTCGTTGCAATGGCCGGTCTGCGTATTTTAACATTCCAGGCGGTGGGGGGGGGGCATTTTTTTTGCCCCCCCCCCTTTAGTTTTTTTTCGATATATCTGGAGAACCGCTGCGCCGATCGTCACCAAACTTTCAGTACCCTCCCGTGAATAGCTATTGCACATTGTGACCAAAAATTTTCCAAAGGCTATGATAGGTTGGCCGCAAATGACATCAGAGTAACGTCATTTCTGCCATTTTCGACCCAAAAAAGGTTTCACGGGAAGAGCTGTCAGGCCTACAGCTTTAGAGATACAGAAAAATGTTTCAACATTAAAGGTGTAGAATTAAAAGGGCTACAAAACAGCTATCTCGGATTTTTGAATTTTTTGGATTTTGACCCCCAAAAATAAAAAATAGATTTTTAATATAATAGCCGAAAAATCCAAAAAGTTTTTTGAATTTCGAAAAAAAAACGGAATATATGTGATAATCCCTAACGCCTTCTATCTACATACCAAATTTGAGATCGATATCTCTTTTTTTGGCCAAGTTATAGCGAAAAAACTGTTCAAAAATGTTGACGTCAAATTTTCAAACTCAATTTTTAGCAATGCTAGACCTCGTAGCGCAAAACAAAGACCACCATTAGACTCCCCGTGACAAGCTGCATCGAATCAATACCCATTTTATGCAAAAATATCAACTTCGAAATTTGACCTTTTTACCTGACCTTGACCTGACCCCCACCAGAAAGTGACCAAAACCGTACCTGATGGTCTTATACCCAACACCATTGAGTTGGAAATGAAAAACTGGCCATAAAACATGCATCGCACAACCTTAGTAAAGTTGGGTTCATGTGGTGACCCTTGGCCACCTTTGGTGACCTGACTTGTGACCTGACCTGGTATGACCAGTGACCTCTAATAGCAACATATGTACTAGAAAACTGACGCCCTATCGCTGATTTTCGACAAAATGCGTTTTACTCGGTGTTATAGCGCTTTCCCTAGAAGCCCCGTGAACGGTGAAACATTTTATCTTTGACCTGACCTGTGACGTCATCGGTGACCCCGAGGTCAATGAAATTTGGTTTCCCTCAACAAATTTGACAGGGCTATCGAACGCCGTTTGAATTTTCCGGATCCGTCTAGTAGTTTCGGAGATACGAGGGGGGGGGCAAAAAATGCCCCCCCCCCCCCCCACCGCGCGGAAGGTGGCCGGGAGGCCCACCGCCTGCCGGGTTAAACCGGCCACCCCTATGACACAGAGGCACACGTGGAGCCGGGTGAGTCACACACCCTTCTCCCGTCTCGGCGCTGCTCGGCCCGGCGCGGCGCGGCGCGGCGGTCGGAGCTCGCAGATAAGTCAGCTCCATTCCCCTCTCCCGCTCTTAGTTCAACCCAGCTGATCGTGAGCTCATCAAAGTCACAGATGACAACACAGGCCATCACGGCATTCGAACGAGGACAAAAGTGGCAAAAAAATCCCTGTCAAAGTTTCAGAGGACAAAGCGACAACGGCGACTGCTAGCACTGTTCGGTCATGAATCATCCTCGATCATTAGATATCGCTTCGGCGTCCATAGAATCATCAGTCACACAAGTAAGATAAATGGGAGTTTTAAAGCACTTTGATGTTTTGTTTAGATCATACCGCGATAGCGCCTCATGCTGCATTTGATTACGGTCACCAAACGAGCCTGTGAGCTACCACCTCTTCTATGTCTCGTCTGAGGGAGAAATGTACACGCGATCAACACCACTTCCCCTCTCACTAACACACATTTCCATTGTTGATCACTATGTTGAACATTTGGCCAATAGCATGTTGCCCTATTGCCCCATGCTCCTAGCGTCTTCCAGTGCGGACGCCGGACATTTCGGGGGCGCGGTCGAATGACCGACGGCCGGCTGGCTAAGGACTCCCGGGAAGCCCTCTGCGGCCTGGCCGGGTCAGACGTGACGTCCCGGCCACCGGTCGCCGGCCGGCCTGGGCCTCGCCGTCTAGCCGGCACACTTTGTTGGTCTCGAGGCTGTGTCGAAACTGATCCCCGTGTGCCGTGACGGGAGCCGGGGAGGGCGGACAGCGCCTGCCTGTCGGGTAGCTGTCTGCCGTGACGGGAGCCGGGGAAGCGCAGGCGGTGACAGCTGCTCCTGCTGAGGGCGGGACGGATGGGAAGTGCCTTATCGACCGTCCTGTTTTAATAACGTTGCAACTCGGGAGGTCTGCATTGCCCCTGATGAAACATGGCACTCTCGTCTCTGCAGTTTTCCGGTAAGCGCGACATAGTGTGTCATGGCACGGGTGAAACGAAGCCGGAACGCCAGCACACGTAAGGAGCCGCAGCAAATGTAGGCGTTAGGTGCTGAATCAGAGACAGTGTTTCAACTAAGGACGCTAAGTGAGGCGCACCGAGTTGTCGCTGCATCATAACTGCGGACCAGTGGGCGGGTGCAGCCTGAACTAGGCCGTCACATACACACGGTGCAGGTGATAACTGGAACCTTAGGCCAGCATGATCAGCGCGATGCCGGCTAAACAAGTTAATGCACTAACAATGGCATCCGGCTGGTTCATGTTTGAAATTAGCATTACATAAGCCAAGCCCACTTCTAATAGGTACCACCTTTTACATAAGCATTGACCCATATGGTATTGCAAATCCTTTTACTTTAAAGGACGCTCGTCAGAGCCATTCATGCTTTGAAAACGCATTAGCAGGTGAATGTCCCATAATAAGTGAACGTACTATACAAATACATAGACGTGAAACTGGTGGTTACCGCTATAATATACGGCAAAATGACGATGAGCTTATATGGAAAATGGGCAAGGACTGAAAAGTGGAAGTTCGTAGATATGCAACATGCTGATTTGTGAGAAGGTTGTGAATCAAAAGCTTATGAGAAGTGCCTAAATTCGTTGTGACAGATAGTCACACCCCAATCGCTATACTTCGCCCTTCTCCGCTCGTTCAAGGATTGCCCGTTCAGCGAAGCCCATTGCCGGCGTGGCTCCACGGTCTGCCGTTCGGCAAAACCTGCCGACACAGGTGGCCGCCGGCGGGGCAAGGCCGCGCCCGTGGCCGGCACAGCGAGCGAGTCGGCCCGGCGCCACCGCCGCCACCAGGTATGTGGCGGAAACCACCGCCTCCGCCGCCGGGACGCCAGACGGCCGCGGCCGCGCTCAGAGGTCGACAGGAGCGCGCAGTCTCGGGCCCCGCGAACCCCACTGACGCGCTCACCCACTCCGTGCCGAGCAATCATTCCGATAGTTTCGCGGTATATAGCGCCCCACCCCGTATCGTTTCGAGCGGCGGATGACCTTCAGACTACTGTGTCGCGATATTATTCTCGCGCCGACCCTTTTCCTGCGAGTCGGTTTCGTCAGACAGATGTCTGGAGACCATAACAGACTATCGCGGGCACTGATGAAACGGAGCGGCGTCAGCGCGCCGAGCCGCCGATAGCACCTGTCGGAGATTCACCCGTCATCCGGCCGACAGGCCCGGCCGGCGGCGCGCCACTTCCCACTGGGCCGGCGCGCCGTGCGCAGGTACCGTGAAGGGTGAGACGCGGCGGCGGCCGCGGCGCGGGCGGACGGCCGCCGAAGGTCGCCGCCGCCGCCAGTCGGTCCGCGCGGAAGGCCGTCGACCGGCGAGCGGCGGTCAAACCGCTCGGCAAACTAATTACCGTGGCCCTCCCGTCGTCGTCGAGTGTCCCTGTTTTAGGGCGTCCCAACTACCGGCCCGATGGCGCCCTGTCCATAGACCCGCCCCACCGGTCGATTGTTAGGTCATACAGGGTCCGCGTCGCTGCCTTCGTAAACGTTCGTAAATGGGCACAGTCGCAGGCGCTACGAAAGCTGGACGACCGAACGCCCAGTTTTTAATAGATTGCATATTTTCACATCAACGCCAAGCTACTTAGCCAGCTGCTATATGAAAATACACTGCGAAATTACTATGTATGCATTAACTATAGTCTCTCTATGGCATGCATTCCACATACAACCCGGATAAAGTTATACGGTTATCTACACATATCATGAAACCACAAAACAAATGCAACTTTTGACATTGGGAAAGCATTGGCTTGACTACCAGCACAAATTATCTACAGAAGCAAGACAGATCCCACAAACTATCGTCCCATCAGTTTAACTTCAGTGGTTTGCAAACTACTGGAGAGACTGATACAGAAAAGGATAATCGAGCACCTGGAACTGAACAACTTTATCTCTAGTCACCAACACGGATTCAGACGTGGAATGTCCTGTCTTACCCAGCTTCTGGAATATTTTGCAGATGTAGAGGATATCTTGGACGAAGGGCACTGTGCTGACGTCATCTACCTAGACTGTAAGAAGGCGTTCGATACGGTCCCGCATGCTCACTTGTTGGTGAAGGTGGAAGGTGCAGGAATAGTGGGAGGAGTAAAGAGGTGGATAGCCAATTTCCTAGAGAATCGTGAGCAGAGAGTTGCGATACACGACTCCTACTCGACCTGGAGAAGAGTTTGGAGCGGCGTTCCGCAAGGAAGTGTCCTCGGGCCCACGCTATTCCTAATTTATATTAACGACATTCTTGATGGTCTTAACTCTAAAGGGAAACTATTCGCAGATGATGCCAAGATCTACAGCAGAATCAGGAACCAGGATGATAGCAAACTCGTGCAGGAGGATCTGAACACAATCAACGACTGGAGCAACAAATGGCTACTGAAATTCAATGAGAACAAATGTAAAGTGATGCATGTCGGCAACAAGAATCCGTCCAGCCCATATACACTAGGGGACAGTGCCCTCCAGATAACCTGCAGGGAGAAGGATCTGGGTGTCCTGGTGCGGAACGACATGAAGGTGGCAGACCAGGTGGCAGCAGCAGCCACTGCAGCGAACTCGATGCTTGGACGAATTCGCAGGGCATTCACCTGTCTCGATAAGGATACCCTTCCAGCACTGTACAAGGCCCTGGTCCGACCCAAGCTGGAATTCGCTGTGCAAGCCTGGTCCCCCCAACTAAGGAAGGACATCAACAAACTCGAAAGAGTACAGAGGAGAGCCACAAAGATGATACCTGACTTGTCTCACCTACCATACGAGGAAAGACTAAGAAAACTGGATCTGACGACATTGGAGGAGAGGAGAGCAAGAGGCGATATGATACAAGTGTTCAAAATCCTCAAAGGCTTCGACAAAGTAGATGAGCATCTTCTCGTACTCGACCCTGGAGTCAACGATCCAAGAACGCGAGGACACAAACTCAAGCTGAAGAAATTGCGTCATCGTACCAAGAAAAGGCTGATGTTCTTCTCTGCACGAGTCACGAGCACTTGGAACTCCCTACCGAACAGCGTGATACAAAGCAAGACGATATCAACATTCAAGACACGCTATGACCAACACATGACTGAGAGGAGGCAGCATCCTAACGAGCCATCCTAGCTCTCTTGCCTCTTCCTATACTTCTAGGTGAGCAACTTCTAGGTGAGCAAGACTCCCAGAGTCCAAGGACATTGAAGGAAACAAGAGTATTTCCTACCAACCAGGGCGGGAGCTGAGTGCTTGGTGTCTGTCGCTCAGGCAGCGGGCAACTGTGAGCTATTAAAGCACCCGGCGACACAGGTGTGACCGCGCAGCGGACACTCGCCAGCTGCCGCGCAGATGTGGCCTCCTTTAATTAATTGGCGGCGGCACGCCGGACTTCGACCCGCATCTCAATGGCGCGTCACTCCCCGCACATGGAACAGCCAACCCGATTCTACGGACCACGACCCTTCCTGCCCTCCGACCACCGGGAGCTCCGCACACAGCTGAATGGCCCCGCCTCTGCAGCCCACTCAACTCACCTGCAGCTCGCACCAGGCCACGAACACGCCCGTCGTCGTATCCAGACCCTTGTAGACCGTCTTGAAACTGCCTCTGCCAATCTCCTCGTCGAACTTGAGGAAGCGACCGTTGGGCGACGCCTCCACGGCCTTTTCGACCTCGTCCTCCTCAGGGTCCTCGGGCCCGTCCTGGCTTTTGGTGGTCTGCGCCGGTGACGGCCGGCCGCCCGGTCCGTCCACACTGCCACGCGCCGACCGCTCGCGCTCGCGGTAGTTCTCGATCGCGCGCCGCAGCGACTCGTTCTCCTCCTCGAGTTTGCGCATGCTGGCCGCCTGCCGGCGCGACTCGGCGCCCGGCTGCGCCGACTCTTTGACCGTCTCTGTGTCGGCCTTTTCGGCAATCTCCTCGCCCGGCGCCAGCCACTCGATCTGCGGCGAGAACGACACCTTGCCACCGTCGAGCCGGTTACGGTCGCGGTGTCGCACGGCAGAGAGACGCACAGGAGTCTTGCCGCCCCCACCCCCGCCCCCGCCCCCGCCGTGGCTGTGCACGTGGCTGTGACTGTGACTGTGGCCAGCGCCGGCCGACGCGCCGTCACCGTTGACAGGCTCATGCGGCGACGCACGTCTCTGGCTTCCGCCGCCCGCGGACACTTCCACACTAAATGAGCGCTTCTTGAGCGCCGGCCGCATCTTCGATTCCGGCTGCGGCGTCGTGCTTTTGCGCGAGCGCAGCCGGTCCTTTTTGGCCGGCGCGCCGGCGGCGTTCAGGCTGCTGTTGGAGCCCATCTCGGTGCGCTCGCGGAGGGCGCGCACGGCCGCCGACGGCCCCGGGTCGGGCGGCTCCTTGAGCGCCGCCTTGGCCGACGTGCGGCCGCTGGCGGAGCGCGGCTTGCTCATAGCGCCGTTCTGGCCGCCGTGGCGCACGGGGATGCTGCTGGCGCCGGCCTCCTTGCGCGCCGTGTCCTTGATGCGCGCCGGCGCCGGCCGCTCGTGCTGCTGCCGAGAGTCGCTGTCATTGGACGGCCGGGCCCTGTCCATCGCACAGGAGATACATTCCCACCTGTGGGCACAGAGGGGGCGGGGTCATCGCAGACAGGGCGTGACTGGGACCATAGGGGGGGGGGGGGGGGGTGGGGTCGTCACAGACGGGTGGCACTGGGGCCAGTGCATGATGACCAGCCCGCCACTTTGGTGACTGTGATGGGATTAAGAATGTGAATCATGAGTGTTTAAACATATTAACTTGGTTGTCATAAATGGTTCAAGGTGTACCAAGCACATTTCAATTGGTAACACCTCAACAATGTCAATTGCAGTGTTTAAAAAATGATGTAATGCAATCTGGAAAGCTATGAAATAGAAAAACTTCATGAAAATAATATGTACCTTTCACACATTCATTTGGATATGTGGGTGAAATCACCCTTTTGCACCTGAAACACATTACGCACAAAACTGAACAAAAGCCACACCATATTGTCACAAACAATATGTCAGCCCAGAACATCATTCACACTATAATTTGCTGCTAAAGAAAATCAGCTAGGTATACCACAAGCAGAAATAACCAAACTTAATCTAACCTCAACCTGACCTAACCTTACCCAACATAACATAACCTTACCAGACTCAACGTGTGGTTGGGTGTAACTGATCAATGTTTTGTGTACAAAGTATCAGAAGTATCAATGTGTGGTCTAGCTTTTCAACCTTACATGAATGTATTACCATGGATTAGGTATTCCTGGATAGGACACTCCACCGATTTTCCGACCACCCGGCGGCGGCGGCGGATTTCCCGACGGCGAGGGCGCTGGCGCCATTTTAGCATTGCGGGCTATGGGCGGAGCGTGTCTTTTTGTATACTTTTGTCGTTTATTACTTACCTGTAACCGATTTTGATGAAAAATTTTCTGAACCTGGTAGAACAGGAATTCAGGAATGTCATGGAAATATTCTTTTCCCAGTTTTGATTTAAGAAGTTGCTTATATTCTGCTGACAAGTGAGGGTTCGTGATTACAGCCAAAGAGACTATGTTAGAATAAAGTGAAGTTTTATGCGATAACATGAAAATAAGTTGATATTTGTATTAAATCATCAATAGGAACTTGTTTGACTGCCGAGGAACGATGATATTTGATGATAAATTGCATCGGCAAGTCAAGAATACGGGCTCAGTTTATGGGCATCAGGTAATGATTCCGTATGTGATAGTGACTAAATGGAGCCATAATAATTATAAGAAAGAACTTAAAATATGTGTTAAGTCTCTGAAATCGTGTCTTATGTGCTAAAGTTCGCTAATTTCGCCTTCCATTACCGCGTTTTTAGCACGCAAGCCGGTGCGGCGGCCGCCGGCGCACTCGCCGCCGATGTTTCGGAGCTCCGCCACCAGGGCAGCCGCTTGGTCGCCGGCGCTAGTGTTGGGGAATAGGGAGTGTCCTATCCAGGAATACTTCATCCATGGTATTACTTTTATACATATTTTGTTTTGAGAATTTCTGCAGTTTTTAAGGGGTGCAAAGGGAAAAATCACATTATGTGATTAACCAAATAATTCCATTTACATTCATATCGTCCTCTTTTCTTCCTTATCATCGGCTGATCTGCCTCTCATTGCAATGGTAGGTAAACGAGTATCTGATTAATCTTATAAAGTGTATAAACATCAGTCTTGCTAGTTTGAGTGAGTGAATACCTAACATTCTAGTTAAAGGGACCCTCCCACCTTCAAAAAAGTTAATGAATTGGCATGAAAGTGATGTCGCTCGATTCATAAAGAGCAAAAACGAATATCTACCAAATTTCACCGAAAAATATTCACCGGTTTTCAAGATATTAGACTTTTACTTTTGTTTACTTTTTTGGGATCTCCGCTGTTCCTAGCGACTTCATTTTGGAAGTGCGGCGTTTGCGGCAGATGTTGCGCGCAAATAGCATATATCCACCACTGCTTCACAAAGATGTTAGTATAAGGTTTTAAAATCGTTAGATCACCGCTGACGTCACAAATTCTAAGGGGGCATCTCAATGCATTAGCCCCTTAGAATCCGAAAACTGCAAGTTTGAAATTACATATCTCCGAATTTAAGCATTTTTCGATGTTGTGAGTGCCCAAACCGGTATTTGCAGGCCATGGCCACCAATCTGGCTATCTCAACTCAAAACTAATGTTAAGGTGGGATGGTCACTTTAACCACACCTAATACATTGCATTCATTTTTTTCAGTACACAATGCTGATGTGGCAAACATTTTTAGCTCTGCGCTCAAACACACAGTTGAAAATGGTTAGTCTGGAGGCACGGACGAGTTGGAGGCCATGATTCTCAGCGGTGTATATTTATGTTAGTGTGACTTCCTTTTATTCATAGGCGGCGGAACCGGGAGGGCACGGGGGCACCGTGCCCCCTTTGATTTTGGCATTTCAACATTAGCCCTATGGGCATTGCATGGAAAGAATGGGACCGAAAGTCGGCAGCGCCCCCCCCCCCCCCCCTACCTTAATTGAAGGTGTTCCGCCGCTACTGCTTTTAATCGTGTTATGTGCCTATGATGGCATAATATAAACTGTAGTATGAAATCATTATTAAAAGAACAATAAATAGAAAACACTCCATGTTATTTTAGGCGTTTAAACTCAACAATGTGCATCGAGGCAATTGAGACAAATGTGGCCCTTAAGAAAAACATGATATCTCGAAGTCAATAATAGTACCAATTGGAAAAACATACCTCTTCAATTACCAGTTCAGAAGCATGTATGATGAGGTAAGCTGGAAGACGTCTAACCCCAAAATAAGCGCTACAAAACACAAAGAAACAAACAGTGAACCCCACCTCGCTACATCCGCCAGAGACCTGCCTGTTCAAGGTTCTCGAATGAGACAGCTGAGTTTTATATTTTCCTCTGATTAGTCTCTTATGACATCATTTTCATGATGCAGTGCTAGCAAATTAAATGCGTTGTGTCGTAGTGCTGCCTATATGCTGGTAATATTCTACACTTAAGTTGTAAAAAAATATACGTAGATTAATCTAATCACTAAGATTTTATGAATCGCTGACTGATACATATTTTGATACCAAAATTCCTTATCGTTTTATCCACTAGTCCTACCCGTGGCCATCTGTAATAATCTTGCCCGTGGCCTAGTGGATAAGGCGTTGGTCTCCTAAAACTCGGTGGCAGCGAGTGACTTGACTTTGAGTGACTTGACTTTATCTCCACATTTTTGGCCTAAATTAACAAAGTTTTTGAATGAAGTGACCATCACTGGCACTTGGCAGATCCAATAAGGCATTTAGGGCAGAGCTGCGGAGTCGGAGTCGCAGTCAGTCGATTTTGGAAACCAGATCCAGAGTCGGAGTCGACGTCACCGAAAATCCGTCGAATACGCGGCCCCATGGCAGGGCTGTGGAGCCGGAGTCAGATTTGGAGTCGGTGGAAGTCGACAGTTCCACCCAGAGTCGGAGTCGGAGTCACCAAAAATCCATCAGCTCCGCAGCCCAAATTTAGGGTATTTCACCCTCCCTGTCTAATTTTGGGTCGTTTCTCTTTTCGAAACCTACCCTACCATGAAAACTTCTCTAAGAATAAAGTGAAACCCCTAAAGGCCTGGGCGACGACATCCCGCGCCGTGCTGGTGGTCTGAGTTTTTTGTCGTGCTGGGAGAGGGGCGTCACGCCCCCCCCCCCCCCCCGTTTCAACTCGGCCCCTGGGCCTAGTCTCAAATCGTTCCGCCGCCTATGACCTCAACCGTACTTCAGCCGCAGTAAGCCAGAGCAGCACGAGGCAGCCGGGCCTGGCCATGGCACGCCGTGGCAAGCAGCTGGACTGGAGCCGGACTTGGCGGTCTGAAACGATACCAAAGCGCTACGGCAAAGACTGGTTAGCCAGAATAGAGCTATATTGACCCAAAACCCTGTTCCGACAGCGTTCCGTCCACATACGCCGGTTCAAATCTGGCAGGTCGGATCGTTGCCAGGGCAAAACGGACTTCAGCCAAACCAAATTGCTGGCTGGGACGTAGCGACACGTGGTACGCGGCGTTCGTAAGTGTCAAAAATAATGAAGAAAATGCTCGAAGCAATCTCACCCATGGCAGCCTTGCCCACCGTCCGAAAGCGATAAAAGTTCCGTGGCCGACGCCCTTGTAAGTAAAGATGAAAAACTGCGAATGTTTCAACATTTTCCCTGCCCCAGTCAAATATCAAGCACATGAAATATCGCGAAGAAAAGTAAGAAAACCGAAGTAAAGCCAAGTGTATATCCTTTTCCAGCCAATCGACCTATCACGAATGTGTCGTTTTTGACGGCAGGTATGCATGATGGAAAATGATACCCATCGCGAAAGCGTCTGAACACCCTCAACCTCGAGCTCCTCACCGCTGTCAACGACAGTCAATATAAGCGTTTGCGCTCGCACTCCCGGTACATGATATTCTTCAGTACTTTCTTAAGAAAGTCAACATACACAGCTGATACAAAATCCGCCCAACATTTCCTTCATGTGCACCACAAAATCAATGCCTTCCAATGCCCGAAAAAGGTCAACATAAAAGAGTTTATTGAACTAACTGGAACTAGAAGTACGCAGAGGACGCGTCACGCCACACTACACCTAGTTAAAGCGATCTTACCGATGCCGGGCCTTTAACTGGGGACAGTAGCCGCGCGCGCGGCGCTGGCGGCGCCCGGTCCCGAGCGGCGAGTCACCGCGCGCCGCACAGAGGGCTCCAGCGGCCCGCCAGGACCGGCCCGGGACTGAAGATCCGGCGCCCGCGCCGTGCAGACGCGCTGCCGTCCAGCAGAGGCTGGCGCCGTAGTGCGCCGCGCGCCGGACCGCTGCCCGACTGTTCAGTTACAGACAGAAACACAAGAGCGGACCGCCGCGCCACACTCGCGGGCCAGGCCGCCGACCGCGATTTAACGGTACAAAAATACATCACAGGTGGCAATTAGGTATAGTCCATCGGGGCAGCAACAGCGTGGTGACACGGAAGCAGACATCGGTAAAATTTGGCTAGCACGACTGAACACGTATTTTCACATACGTGTACAACAATTTTGCGTAAGATGACTTCAAGAAGATTTACATCTTTCCACAAAGATTAGGCTAAAACTGGACATTTATAGAGCAGGTTAGGGTCAAGGATATAAACATATAGAAAGAATACAAAAATATACATGCATGCACCGGGTTTCAAAGTTACAATACATTTCATCGGAGCTAAACCATAATAAGAAGAAACTAACAATATGCACTATCCGAGAAACTGTCGCGACATTCCGATTTAGCACTGTGGTGATCGCGAATACCTAGCATCGGCCATCAGACAGCTAGCCAAGGAGTTCCTCTGGCGGCAGCCGATCCCAGGCCTCACGACACCAGCTGAGAGAGCCACGGACCTCGCCAGTCGACTGGGCCCAGCTCTCAGCGGTGGTCACCGTGCAGAGGCCGGCGATAGACGTCGCTAACGACACTGCCGTAGACAGCGCCATAGTCTCCACGGCAGAGGTCGCCACCGCCGCTGGGCCGTGCCCTCAGCGCTGCCAATAATTATTGTCGGATGAGGCCGAGCCGGCCGCTCAGCACACCGGTTACAGCCGGTATGGCCCGAATCGTGTCGTCGCGGCGTGTCGAGTCGGCAGTGCCCGGGGCGCGTGCCCGCCGCACCGTCCTCACTGCCCGCCAGTGTCTCCCTCAGTCCCATATCACATGTGCCGGCCGCCGGGTCGGGGCGGCGCGGCCGACCGGCGCGGCGCCTAGTCCAGCGGCACCAGCTGCAGCACCACCGTCTTCTTACTCAGCCAGTAGCTGCCGGCACAGGAGGCGTATCAGTCACAGGACATGGCGCCCGTAACGAATTGACAGCAGTCACTGAACGATACAAACGGCACGGAGAGGTGCAGAACGGGCGGCTGGAACGCCACACCGCAGGTAGGTACTGAACTGGCGGAGCTGTATTCGGGGAGGGCACACACACAGAGACTCGAGTGACCCGGATGTGGGCGAAAGACGAGCAGCTGGCCGTGATGTGATCCCAGCTCGTACGCCCCATTAACGGAGCTGTCATTGACCGCCCTTCGGCAGGTGGACGAGGAGGGGACGGGTGCTTATAATGTTCGTCACTAGTCGGACGTAATATCGTGACACACGCACCAAAAGCGATGCAAAGGACCGTTATCATAACGGTACTAACACATTCATGCCACTCAGGGTATTACTTCTTCACTTAAAAACCGCATCTCGTGTGAAAATGCTTAAAATAAATGAGTCGGAGAAAGATATGAACGAAGAAGCGTTTCAGAGTACACAGCTCTAACAGCTGCACTGGACGGTGGACACCAGACACTGTAGCGTGACGGGCCTATTTACACGGTGTGTCGGACCCTCCCTTTTCCCGCTCACACACCCACAGTTTGTCCGTAGTACTACCCGGCAACGAGTGTCGGTAGTTACTCGACACGCCACCGTCAGTCGAGCAAAACAGCCAGCCGGCCACTCCGGGTCGCAGCCGCGGCCAATAGCGCAAATTGGTCCAACAGGGCGGCGTTTCATCATTTGAGCGGCAGCGTTTTCCAGCTACAAATGCCCAACGTCATCCCACGGCCGGGAGTCACCGGATGACGGACAATATCAGTTACTGGAGGGAGTCGGCCCGACCAACGATCGCTGGGGATGTGACGCCAACAGATCGGTGTTGGAGATTAGCTCTGCCGGTCACTGAGAGGAAGGTTGTGATGGCCACTGAGGCAGTCAGGCTTTATCAGGGGAGGCACAAAACAGGTGCACGGTCTCACATGACCAGACAGCTCAGCGGCCAGAGGTCAGTGCGAGCCGGCCGACCCCGGAGGTCCCGGGTCGGCAGAGGTCAGCTCAGGAGCCTGAGGTCAGGACGAGCCGGCCGACCCAGGAGGTCACGGGCCGGTCAGTCTCATATCACCGCGCTGGCTCGGCACAAACGGCAGCGATCGGTGGTCTGACCCGTACCTACACGAGTCAGCACTCGGCTCTGCTCGGTCAGCACTCCCGCTGTCAAAACCAGTCAGTGTAAAACTGGTGAGTCACCTGAGAGCGTCCTTGGTAAGCTCAGCACCGGTGTACTACTGAAACGTGTGCCTCCTTACCGCCAGGAACTTAGCTCACCTTTCCCCCGCTCAGCTCTCACCCTTTCCCAGCTTACAACTAGCTCAGTACTCACCTCCACCAGCTCAGAACTCGCCCTCTCCCAGCCCAGCACCCATCCTTCCCCGCCTCTCACCCACCCCAGCTCACAACTGGCTCACAACTGACCCAACCCTAGCTCACAACTCACCCGAGGCCGGCGCCGAGCAGCAGCGACAGGATGTTGGTGACGATGAAGGTGCACAGCACGCCGCGCGAGAAGATGCCCGTGTTGCCCACCTTGGCGTTGCGGATGCTCAGCGCCCGGTTGGTCAGCCCGGTCGGGTGTCGGAACCGCCAGTCTCTGCCAACACGGCCCATAGCAGGCATCAGCAGCGGTGGATGGCAGCGATCGTAACGAGTGAATAGTACACACAAGACACACCAACAGAGGCATAAACATGCAGAATTACAGATGTCACTTAAGATTATTTCAATAATACCAGATCGTGTTGGAATTCGATAAACAGACGAATTCACCTAGGGAAAACAAGATGAGCCCCAATAAAACAAACAACAATCCAGACTGCCCAACAGGACGTCCGCCGTGTCCAAATACCGTGGCTGACTGGGCATGGGCTGCTGTGCCAGACACTGACCGGCCCAGACGGCCGACAGGCGACACTGGACCAACGGAGCGCCGTGGCACTCGGGTTACCAAACAAACCAAACAACTGCGGAGATCATATACGTCCAGCATACGGTCCGCAATGTAGACAGTATTTGGTCGACTCGCATGACTTGTTTTCAATCTTGACCTGGATAGTGGACATCGGACAACCTTCTCAGCGTGGAAACCTTGCCCTTTCTATGCCGAATTCCTCATTAACCCGAACTCTGCTTCTTCCGTCTAGTTTCAGTCATACCATCGCAGCTCCTCCTGGCTGATTTGTTAAACCATCACGCATTTGAGCACTATGGTCGCTACACCGCGGAACGACGGTGGCCTCCACTACCTACATGACCTGAGACTCCGTCTGTCGACTCTAAACACCTCTGTCGGCCTCGGCTGGCGCCGTGACCGGGCACACCAGACAGCGGCCGGTGACTCAGTCTGACGCGCCGCGCAGCTGCGCACACATACATGCACACGGTGAGACGCCGCTCGGCTCTGAAACCAGGCGCCACCGGCCGCTAACAAACAGCCGGCAGCGCGGCCAAACCAAACCGAATCAAACCAGCACCGGCACGCCGTGCGGGACGGTCCGTGCCGCTCGTCGGCGGGTGGGTACGCCGTGTGCTTGTGGATCGACTCTGTTGACCAAGACTAAGAGCACGAAGGTGCATATTTTCAGCATTCTGACCGTCAAGGAACGCGTGTCAGAGGAGCATGACCACAGCTTCGGTGGGTATCATCATCTGAAGATACCCCTTACTGGCGAGGTAAATTGTGATGCAAGCACATCCAAGATAAAAAAGAACAAAGACGACTGTCAGCCGACTATGCAAAGCGTCGTCGGAAGCTGAGCGAGGTGGTGGGAGGATACAGGCTAGAGATGTCAATCGGATACCAACTTTTTGGTAAACCGATACCAAACCGATACCAATTTGGTATTTGGTATTTCAATCCTAAAAGTTTGGTATGTTGTTGGTATCATGAACCCTCATTAATGTATAAGAGGCTAAGAAATTGATAAAAAATTGGTATTTCCCTCATGTTCTCAAGTTAGTTTGGTTTCGGTATTTCCCCACGGTGTTGGTTGGTATTTGGTTTGGTATCGGTATTTTGATTTTCTGTAACTGACATCACTAATACAGGCACACAGCGGACCACAGACAATGGGCTGTTTGACAGCCACAGCTCACTCAGCCCACGGGCCACGGCTCACCAGCCGGCCACCGCCGACCGCAACACCATTCGTCAGAGCACTGCTGCACTGACCTGCACTGAACAAACGGTGGGAATTATCGTCTACCGCAGGTTGATACGACGAAAATAAAAACAGCATTCTCTCCCTAACCACTAAAGAAAAGAACCATTCGGCAACCCGAAATAAGTAGGTATTACTTTTTTGCAACGAGATAGACGGCAGATCCAACACACCCACTGCCACGTTGAGAGAGAATTAATTGTTTATGATCCCTATTCCCTGACAGTACTCAGCCCAGTGTACAATTGCATACTGTATACATATATGAGGCGTTCTGCCTCTGAACAAGGCACAAGTTTCATTCGTTAAACTCGCTTCAGTGCCTCAATTTTCCACTTGACAGCAACTGTTTATACACCAATTTTCCACTCCCTGCTCAAGGAAGCCTTACCTTACAGACGGCGCAACTGCATTGTGAACCGCAGAACAGCACCTTGCAACAACAATTTGAAACGAAATACATACTACATATTTCCGTAATAATGCAGCTAACAGGCAGAGGCACTGGTGAAAAGTAATGGTACCAGTGCTTCTGCAGGCACCTCTATTGTTATTATTTCAGGTAGGTACGTGTACCGGTACTGACTTTGGCGGTGTGAGGTCGGGCCGACTGCTCCAGTCCCAGACCCAGTCGGTGCTCTTCTCCATCCCCAGAACATCCTCCTGAAACAGAACAGTCACTGGTCAGAACATCCCCTCTTCCCATCCCTAGAACATCCTCCTGAAACAGAACAGTCACTGGTCAGAACATCCCCTCCTCCCATCCCCAGAACATCCTCCTGAGACGGAGCTATCACTGATCAGTACAGCTCATCCATAGACCTCTGTGTGACCTGGGTGTACATACAGATGTCTATGGCTTATCTCATCCTATCTGAGAGCTCCGCCTATCATCTCGTCCCCTCGGCCATCTGACAAAATGGCACCAAAGCAGACACAGCACCACTACATACATCAGCCTTTCATACAGCTCCTCGCTAATCAAGGGAACTACAACTAACAGTGGCCTAACACAGCAGTCGGCTCGCGGATAGACGGCTGTCTGTCCGCCAGCCACGACTGGGTCAGCCGGCTACCCTCCGTGGTGATCTTGGCTCCTGCCTCCTAATACCGTGGTTACAGCGGTTACCGTGGTTCCCGGTTACCGTGCCGCTGTCCATCAGATCCGCTGGTATCATGGTAAACAGGCGGGGACGCCACAGACCATGGCGCCGCCAGCAGCGTACATACGCTCCACCGAGGCGGGGCGGTAAATGGTGCGGCTCGAGGCCAAACACCGCATGGCCGGCGGCAATTAAACCCCTCCATGGCCTTCGCACCCGACGAATACGGAGCCAGCGAGCAAGTAAAAACACCCTGCGGCGTCCATGGTCTGAACGGGATAGGCAGACCGGTCTCGATAAATACCACTGCAAAAGCAATGTCTGCAATCTGCATCAACAGCATCTGGATGGGTCTCAGGCAGGCACGATCTCGTTTGTCCACAGCGAGCCTTTGTGTGAGGAAAACGTCCACTGACTGTTGTGATTTCGTCAGTCGCTGTCGCCGCTCATTCCAGAGCACACCTACAAACCTCAGCTCCTTTTTTCATCGAAGGTTTTCACAACGGAGCGGCTGATGCAATCCCGGCAAACAAAACATACACACAATAAATCCGGAAAATGACCTCGGGACTCCGTGAGCACTGGCCAGCTCATGCATCATTTCGCGTACGATTGCAAGGTCACCAGAAAACAAAGCAGACCGGACCGAACAGGTCGGCACGGCGCCCCAACGGCGGTGGCCGCGGTGGTAGGAATTAGCGGCGTATGTGCCGGCCGGGAAACCAACACAGCTCAGGTTTCGGCGCGTTTGCCGACAAAAATAGCGGCTCACTGGCCGGGAACGGTCCGCCAGCCGCGAGCCAGGTGTGCACTGAGGGCGCACTGTGGCGGTGCCGCCCCGCCCACCCCGTCCCGGAGCGTGCACCCAGCCAGCACCTGCGTCCCACCCTACCGCTCACCAAACCTCAGCCACCACGTCTCGGAGACGCTGAGATGGTGCACACATTCCATACACCGCACATCGCAGTGTGCGTTGGCCCCTGGGTGCACTAACGTCGGCCCTGCTCGGCCAGCGGGAGCAGCTACGGGCACGAACCCCGACCGGAGCAGCTCCTGGTCGGACCAGCGGGAGCCGTAACTGGCAGTGCAGACCGTATGATGAAACAAATCTCTCTGGTCATCCCGTCACACAGAGGCTGGTAATGTGCGAGACAGCGAGTCACGGCACGCCATGGTGCCGCCGTATTAACAGTGTCACGACCACGGAGGCGGGCGGGCGTGATGAGTCACGAGCCGAGAGTGTTCGTGACGGTGCGTCGCGAGCCAGAGCGCGACGGTGCGTCTGATAAGGCGGTCCCAAACAGGAGGAGCATGCTCAGAAACTCTCGACAGGAGCTGAACAGCGCACTACAGAGATGTTTGACAGTAACGCACAAGCTCTTGAGATCGCTGGGTCATTCCACTTCAAAGATCAACGCTTCAAATGCGCCATTAGCACGCTCCGTCCCGTTTAACGCCCAGCCTCAGCAATCAGCGCACCCTCCCAGGCCTCAGCCCTGCCGTCGGTCTCGGCCGTGCTCGTGTGTCGATGTCACGGTGCCGGTGGGCGAGGCGCGCGCACCTGGCCCGCTCCCACCGAGGGCCCGTGCCGACAACAGGTGGACAGAGTCACAACGGGCGGACGGCGCGCCGCGTCACGTCAGACCCGCACCTACCCACCGGGCGTGGGATCGGGAGGTGGGCGTGATTTCATCAACCCCAACGCGAAGTTTCCCTCATGCTGGCTACTACTCTGCTGCGGTCATTTAACATAACGCCCAAAACAGACCGGCGCCATGGACTGAGCGCTGAGCGGCGCTGACAAGGGCGAACGGACACGGGCCCCGCTCCTGCCAAAACAGGTGCACGCCGCTGCATCAGCGGACAATGACGCGGCACCATTGTCTGTCACGGTTCAAAACACGATAATACGGGTCCGGAGCCACGGGAGCCCCTCGGATGGTGCATACTAGTGGGAAAACGAACACTAGACTGAACATTGCATGGATGGGTGGGACGGACGGGTGGGAAGCCGCGGTCTGTATCGCCTGTGGTCACCCGTCTCCCGAGCCATCAATCCTGTCGGCGACATCGTGTGGCGCAGTCGAGACTTATCCTGAACAGGCGCGAAGGCGATGTGCCAAGCCACGTCAAAGGTAAACAGCGAAAATAGAAGTTCAACAGCGTTCGTGGGTCTTCCTTCCTCAGGTGAATCATGAGTCGCCGGTCAGTGGCGTAAAAGCGGCGGACCGTTCACCGGTCAGTGACGTAAAGGGGACGGATCCGTCACCGTCTCTGTACCCTGTAATTAGCCACTGTACACTGTAATTAGCCACTCTCTGTACACTGTAATTAGCCACTCATTCAGAACATATTCACTCGTACTGCTCCAGATTCAGTGACATCGCGGTGTTATAGTTAGTATGAAAAGGATCGCACCAGACTGAGAAGTCTGCTACGCTTAAATTCTCAATCATCGCAGACCACGGCCAAATGATGCACTGTTTTACCAGGAAAACAATATGGGTAAGCGAGGAAAGTGCTGTAGTGGATAGTAAAGATGATAGGAGACGGGTTTAGCCGGCAAGAGACAAAAACCTTACAGCGCGCGAGCGGGTATGCCTCGGCGTGTTGATAAAGTGTCACCCTGAATCAGTGGTACTAGAAACCAGTTGGACGGAAATAGAACGCATCTCTGGATCAGCGCCGATTGTTTAATTAACGTTCACACTAACACTTAGGCGACTGATCTCTCAAAACAAGCCAAGTGCAGTCGGAAGTGGCGTGCAACGAAAACAAAGGAGAAGGTGGGCGCTTTGTCAGATGGTCGCGGTTCCGCCATAAGCATCTATCATCTAGTGAATAACAAACGTCCTTAGAATGTCTGCACGTTGAATATGCGCTTGCGGATTCGTTTATAACATAACCAATCTCTTATGGAATGCATGTGAACGGAAAAGACGCAGCTATATTTAGAATAGCTCGTAATCTCCTTTTGTCTTATATCCATTTTGATTTGGTTATCCTGTCTGATGCAACAGGATAGAAGACAATGACAGCCCAAGTCCTTGAAATTGACGATCACGGCTCCCACAGCCAAGAAAGCCGCCGGTGCTTGGCGTCGAGCTGTCGCGTCGTCCGCACCATGGCCGATTACGGAGACTGGAAGATATTGGTGCCGGTCGCTGTAAAGAATGACCGGCAAAACCCTAGAACACGTACCTAACCAGCTTGTTGTCAGCCCGCATATTATGAACCGTTGCGTTTGGGTCCAAAGACGAAGCGTGCGTGCTCGGAATCTCCGCCACGTGTTGACGCCCAATGGTCGTAGCACGTTTGTCGTAAAACTGCCGTAAAATCGTACCGGTGCACAGTGGGGATTTTTCCGATCTAGCACGTATTTATTCGTAGAGGGCAAACCATAGGTAGAATTGTAGCCAGATTGTGTACAGATGTTGGCTGGTGTGTCCTGGTGAGAATTTTACCTGTAAATGTGCATAATCAACATAGTATAGGGGGTTCAATTGGACCCCCCGCTCAGCCGTTTTGCCCCTGATCAAGCTAGAGCTTCGCGGAAAAGTCAAGCGTGCTGCCTATGACGAAATTAGGCCGAATATATCCAATTTCAAAGTCCAAGGTCATAAGCTGACTTTCCAAGTCAGTTTAATGACCCAACTAAAGTTGGGAAATCGAGACCTCTTGAAACTTCGCAAAGTTAGGGTGTTACGGGGTATTTTGGGGTACTGATCACGAATTTCATGTTAGTTTTGATCACAGACGATGTCTTTATGCATTTAGGCCAGGTCGGGTCAGGTCAGGTTAGATCAATTAGTAGGCGTCCTGCCGGCCATCCATAGAAGTGTCACCTACTACTGATAGCTTCGTAACATGGAACGAAGGCACTAGAACTACTTCGTAAATATTCAAATGGCTGCTAAAATCGAAATCAGCACCAAAAACTACCCTAGAAACAAGTAAAACTCGAAAAAGTGAACCAAGGTCATCAAAAGGTCAATGACCTTGACTTGACCTTCACGTGACCTTGACACCCACCATTATGCATGGCACCAACATCATTTCACATATTTGAACGTTTAAAACCACAAAAAGACTGGAAACCGCGGATAATGTGAGCTGGCATACGCCGAATCGCGATTCCGGCCAAACATGGTCTCGAGAAATATGCCACAGGTCAAAGGTCAGTTGGGTCAGAGTCATGAAATTTTTAGGTTAGATGTAAAATTGATGATCTCGAGGGTACCGAAAGTTTCGGCGCGATCGGCCGCTTTTTGCGCGAGTAATTTGCGGAAAACCATGGGGTTTTATCCGACCCCTTCCCCCTCCCCCTCCCCACAAGTGCGATGGTTAATAAGGTTACGGTATGTATAATTTACGCTTGTCATCCTATTCCTAATGAATGTGTCTCAGAAAATATGCATCATATAAATCACGAAGTAAAATTATTCGCCTATGTCCGGAACATACCTATATCGTGCTGTTTGCCCTAGCGCTCCTCGAGTGTGGTGTTAAGATACTCTAATGTGAATATTCCGTGTTCAGGCAAGTTTCGGCAGCCAAACTAGGCGTTGTCTTGTGCAGAAGAAAGTGGCGAATTCGATAGGATATATTTCGGAGTGGAAAAGTGTGGAGAACATTGTTGATTTCCTACATTTATTTAGAATACCATTCCTTCAATATGGTGTCTGTAAGGGTTTTTTGTAAAGGGCATTTTTGTGACCTTAGTAAGGTTGTGGCATACTTTCTGTTTGCCATTCCATTCCTAATAAAGGTGCCTTTCAGACGATATGCAACCTTAAGACCTCGCAAGATTAAAACCAACAGGACAGGACAATGAAATTGAGCTATACTTTCGGGCCTTGCTGAGCCCATTGAGTAATCACGCATGAGTGTGAACTTTGGGCGCATTTTTCCTAGTTTTGCTGTGGACATACAGATAAAACAATGGCATATATGAAAAATTCAGACATTTCTTAGCCCTACTGACACAAAAAATAAACAAAAATCCAAAAAATATTTTTTTGAATTAATAGGCGCTAGATCGGAAAAATCCCCACTGTGCGGTGTGTGAATTACTGTCGAGAGGAGACCACGCAGGTCAGTTAAAGTTAACTGAATACGGCACATAGTTACATAGAAATATACACATCCGGGTAAAATAAGAAGGCGATATCATAGCTCGGTAATATAGAACTGCAAATAAAACAGCATATGCCGGTGACGAAATCCGCGTAGGAAAGCAGGTGTACCCCTTGCACCCATTGTCCCACACGCAAACACCCCATCAGCCCACCGACACCGGGCTGAGGCCAGTATGCGGGCTGGGCGGCTGGCAGAGGCATTGTTCTGCGGGCGGGCGGATTACGCCCCACCCAGCCTGCCGCCGACGCCACCAACACCAGAGCGGTGGGGTTCGGCAGCGACCGTCCTGCCCGGCCCACCTGTCACCGTGACAAACGAGCGACACCGGCCGCCGGGCTGCACCAGCTGCGGTACACGGATTACAGAAAACCCAGCCTACAGCGGACAGAGTTCGGGCGCTATGTGGCAGGCTGTCGGCCCGTGAAACAGAAACGGATCAGGTGGAACAAATAAGCAATGCTACTTCTTAAGATAATTTCCGTCAGCACTGCATATTATTGTCCCGAGGCATCCCCGGTAAGGCTTCCTGGAACGCTGGACTACTCAACATTTCCATTTAATTCTCTAACTCGGTGGGGTGAAGCAGGCGATACATAGATGCTGCGAAGCTGTGCATAAAGATGGAGGAATGTATGGTACATGGTAGCCTGGTAGGCGTCGCTGGCATTACTGCAAAGCGGGCACAGCGGACACAGAGCCGATATACCTATGAAAATAGGCGTAACGGATAGGATGGACCAAGTACGCTGATGATTTTGTCCGCGGGCTGCCTAATCGTTGACAACCACCAGCCGACCTGGCCTGGTGGTCGCTGTCGGGTGGGCCTGCAGCCCTCTCGTGTCCCGGACACTGGGTCACACCCGGTACCTCTTCGGAGGAGACGGCGCGGCCCGGAACCACCGCCGCCACCCCACCCCACACCCGCCCCGCTGATGAAACGATGCAGACGGGGCCCCAGGCCCAGGCTGATGCAACCCACGCCTGGCGAACAAAGCCGGAGAAAAACGCGAGACAAGGCGCTCCGTCACCGCGGCCGGTGCAAAATAGTGACGGCCGGACGGACAAACATGACCTGCACAAACATGGAAACTGGCTGCACGAAGAACGATAGGCCCCGGCGGCAGCCACCCAAACCGCGAACGGACCACAGCGCATGCGAAAAACAAAAAAAAAACAAAAAAAAAACAAACAAAGGCCACCGCGACATTGTCGGAAAGGGGGCAATAAGCCTGCACAGGTGTGACTAATGTATTCCTCTTTCATCATAAACCGGCACAGAGAAGGAAGAATGAGCAAACTACATACCGTGCAACGCGGGACACTTGGAGAGCGAGATTGCAGGCAATCAAGCAAAATGAAAGATGTTAAAATAAATAAATTTAATAACACTATAAGTCCGCCAGCCGGCCCCTCGGTCGTCCCGGCGGCCCTGACGGCTGCCCCAGCTCCAGCCCAGCCCAGCCCCAGCTCCGGCGGGTGTGCCGGCCATCTGCACGGCTGATGCAGCCTGCCCGCCCGCCCGCCAGCCGACCCACAAGGACGCCGTGCCGTTTGGCTGGCTCCGGGGGACGGACGGCGGAACTGCAGTCTGTACTAAGACTAAGACTGCAGTCAATCTGTCCACCGGACACGGGTCCATGGTGGACGCTGGACAGGACGACCAGACCCGTAATACCAAGCACACCTGCATATCGTGAGTCATGATGAGCAAACGGGCCTGATAGCGTGTGTGTTGTGAACTGAAGTAGCTCTGTTGCGTTTGCCCGTGACAACCACCATCAGGCGATAATGCACCTCCGCTTCGTCAATGCTTGTGTAAACCAAACGGACTGTCGCCACCACAATGCGATCTCCAACCGATACATAGCGAGGTTCCGCTATATTTCCACCCAGATACCGCACACCTTACGGCAATTGCGGCAATTATCAGCTGGGTTCACCCAAACCCGGCCAACATCGCCCGGCAGTACCTATACGGACCCGGGCCGCGCACTACCCTCGGGCCGACACGGATACCCCGGCGCCCTCCCCCTGGGAGCCGCGCTGGCCGACCGGTGTGGGGCTGCTCACCTTGTTGAGGTAGTAGTCGCGCAGCTCCTCCAGGTCAGTGGCAAACTCGGGGTTCGGGCTGTTGGGCGGCGACTTGGGCCTGCAGGACACACAAACACACAGTCATCCATCAGCATCAGAGCCGCTGCAGCCGGGGAGAGTGGGAGGCACCACGCCGGGCTGCAGCCGCTGAGGGACGCGCCCGAACAGCCGGCCAGGCGCGGCGTGAGGTTGTGCGAACGCCCTCCAGAGTGCCCTCCCCATCCCGCCCGCTCACCCGCCTGCAAACGACCCCGAAAACGGCGCAGCAGACACGCCGCAACTGATTGGCATCACAATGTCAGAGGTCACGGAAAGGACACAGATAGGGAGGGGTCTGAATAAATGTGACTTTTGAATGACTGCCGCATTCCATCAGCGCAAATAACAGGATGTGGGCGTGTGACCGGGAAGTTAAGTGGGCGGAGAGCCGGCAAGACTTTCCAAGTTCACGGTGAACCAGCCGGCATGGCGGGCATCCCAAAGTGAGCGGTGACTAGACTTGTATTGACAGGCGACAGCGGTACCTAGGTATGTGTCCTCCATTTACATAATTCGTATAAATGAATGGGAGAGGTCAGTTAAAACCAGAACACCCATTATCATCGGACGAATACATCCAGCGCAAAAATGACCAATGTTTTGAGTAAGCTTAGTGTTGCTATAGTCGAATCAACAAGTAATGCCATGCTGGTCTACATCAAATCGTCAGAGGCGCACACCCTTGCCACGCCGTCTGTTTGATGCGTCAGCAGACAGCGCGGCTGGAGGCAGTACGGCCAAGCGGCTCCAACCGAGCGGCCACTCGGGAGGGCCGGTCACGACAGCGCGGCTCGGTGCAGCTGCACTCGGCCCCAGAAATATACAACACCCTCGCCGGGAGCAGCCGTACACAGTCCCGATAAGGCAGCGACGCTCGGAATCCGCTCTCGGCGGCACAACTGGACGACGCTGGCGCTGCGCATGGCCAATGACAAATATTGCAAGTGATCGACAGGCACCATACAGCAGAAATAAAACTAAGAAAAGGAAAAAAAGTAAAACTTATTGCGATCTGCATAGCAAAACTCTGTTCGTGCCTCAGTCAACTCGACACACCCGTGTGGTCAAAGCGGCACGGCGCTACCCCATACCCAGCCGTACCGAGGTATCTCGTCACCCCTTCAGTCAGCGAGGTCGACCGGTGCGGCGCGGCCGATCAGTACCCGAGTCGAACCAGCCGCCCCATCAGCCCGCCGCGAGCGAGGCCCGGTCGGCCGCAAGGTCAGTAATCATAAATCCCAACCCCACAGCCGCGGCCGTATCGTGGGCGCCGGAGCGGGGACTGAGGAGCGGCTGGTTGGCCATGGTTCGGGCTCCGCTCACACAGTCCGAGCCGCAGCTCCGTGTGGGAAAACGGCAAAGAAAGCCGCCGCGCCGGGGTGCGACATTTAGAATGTCCTCTGCAGTCAAGCCTGTTGGTTTTGTGTGCCAGAGCGACAACTGCACATTGTGCAAGCAATGGCGTGGATTCCTCTCGAGGAAATCATTCTAGCCGACTGAATCGAGGCACGATTCCTATAAGGCAAATATCGCAGCATTGATTCGCATGCATCTCTGGCAGTGTCGGGTGTGGCTCATCGGACTGGTGGAACCACCGAGCCGGTACCCCTGCAGTCCATTGAGGGAGTAGCAACGGGTGTGGTCCGTCTGGTTCGGTCGTAAGCTTCGCTCCCACCCACCGCAGGCCAAACATCAACCCTGCACGACCTCGTCGCTCTCAATCGTTCAGCCCGTCAGTGAAGCGCCGTGGCTGCAGCAACATTTCTCGGTACCCCAACAGCGGGCGGCAAAAACCTACTCGGCTGCACAGACCGCGCCCTTGAACTTGGCCGGCCGAGCAGGACGGGACCAACTTCAGATGACTGGCACAATGTCAAAACCCAGCCGTGCTCCACGCAATGAATAAAAACCCGGCGCCACCAAGCAAATACACACATTGCACAACGCCACGAGGGCGACAGACCGAGCAGCCCAACGTGCGTACGATCTGTCGCTGGCGCGGCACGATCCTATCAGTTCATTGTGTCAGCGCGACCGCTGGACTTCATTAGACTAACACTTATATCGCCAGGCACAGGCTGCATGTGGCGCTGGCTCTTGGCATATAACTAGTCTACCCCGCTCGGCAGTCGAGGGCAACAATGGGTCTGTTCCAGTCGCACTTTCTAACACCCCTAAACTCCTCCAAGATTGCTTCCCTGTTCCAGTGGCAGCTCTAGCCCTTACAAAGCCAAGGAGAGCCCTGCTCCAACCTCCTCTATCTTGCTCTTGGAGGAGTTTAGAGGTGTTAGGAAGTGCGACTGGAACAGACCCAATAGCTCGGTGCGGTTAGAGCTCGGGCCTCGGACCACTCTGTGTGCCTGCCCGCCAGGACAGCCACTGACACCTGTACCGCCAGGTGACACTGGTCTACTAACACCTGCGTGCACGAGCCCGGCGACACAGCCAGGCAGACACGGAATGGCACGGCGGGACGCAACCCACCACAATACGACGCAACGCTGCACGGGGCACCGGCAAAGTGGGGCCGCTCACCGCGGTCCCAGCGTCAGACACGCACATCAATCACAACGCGACGGACTGTCCACAACCGGACATGGGGCCGCGAGCCACGCGGATCCACCCCCGGCAGGTGACATCAGTTTCAGCATGGCGGAGCCGCGCCGGGGCCCGCCCGAACCACGCTCCGCACCCACATGGCGCGGTCTGTATGTAATGCAACAATGCATGAGATGCATGATGGAGCTGGCTGTCGCGTCGGGATCGACAGACCGGCGGCCGTACGGCGGGCGGCGGCGGCGGCGGATGATACCGGCGCTCCACTGTTTACATAAGCCATGCGGTCAGACAGCCACCGACCGGCCCCGCTGACCGCGCGTCACGGCCCGATCACGTGACCGGGGTGGCGCGGCGCGGCCAGCGACCTGCAGAGGCCGCCGAGCTGCGCCTCCGCCGAGCCGCGCCGCGCCGCGCCGCCGCTCACCGTCCGTCACAGGCAGATGAATGGAGCCGCCACCTACAGGCTCCATTGGAAAAGGGCTTGGAGAGAAAGTGGCAGAGTATTTGACCCGAGAGACGAGCCTACATAGATCGGCAGATTCGACCCAATGTTCGGCGTTAGAGTCTGGGACACGGACTGGCCGAGCCCTTGACGTGGCGGACGATCAAACACCGACCAGGTCCCCAGGTCCGCCACACCATCAATTCATACAGTACGAGAGGCTGCAGAGTACGCGGGACTGGCTGGTACCGGGTCAGACCTTCCGAGTGACTATCGATGACCGATAGTGTCTGATGACAGCGACAATGTGCAGGATCATGAATGACTGTTCACGAGTAGGTGTCCAAATGGCCCCCAACCGGCGCGGTGATCAACGTCACAAAGGCAGGTGAAAGACCTGGGCCTCATCCTATTTGCGACTTGAAGCAATGTAATCGTGACTCAACGGTTCAGTCTGGGACTGAACCAGACTGGACTCAGTTGTTGCACTCAGTTGTTTATTGACCAATGTAGCGCCACCATGGCATACACGTCCACTGATGCAAAAGGCATTCGAGAATCGTTTTTATCTGCAGTACACTCACACTTCCAATAAAAGCCCACGCCATAAAAAGACGTCACCTCACAAGACGTCGTCGATCTGTCCTGAGCCGACCATCGCCAGGCTACGCAGTTTGAAAACTGAGCACTCGGCTGATGCTGACATTTCCTGGAATAGACGCCAACCCCGGACCGTCCCAAACTGCATTGCACGCCAGGCTGTATTTAGAAGATGACAGGGCAGTGCTCTATTGAAGGTGCATTCAAGGGAGATCAGTGCCGACTAAGTGCAGATGCAGCATCCCTAGAGTGACGTCAACATTGAGTGGGCTTACTGAATACATCAAAACAGGGTTCATAGACAAGCGCGTTCGAGCTTTGTAAAGCTGCAATGGCCAGCTATCCTCAAAATGCAGGTTATTTAGCTCATGCACTGAAAGAGCGTGTTGTGCTTACGCCACCAGTGACTTCGCAAAGAAGCGACACAAAAACACAGTGTCAGATTTGGCCCGTAGTCGATGTCTACGCCTTTGTGTGAGACAGTGAGGTCAATAGTGAAGAGAACGATCGATACAAAGGGACCGACGGCGACAGTGGACCAGGCCGGACAAAGCGCGCAGCCAATCTCCACCCGTGCGCCCCGAGAGGCGCTTGGACGGCTTGTCTCGTCTATTACTGGAAACGATAACTCATACTAATTAAATCAAGATTTAACAGTGACAGTTCTTCAAAAGTGCAGTCCTTCAAAATGCTGACGCCACTAACATTCAGCGGTAAATGTCAAGTTTAAGTCCTAAGCAGATTTCATTGATAAATTTTTCATATTTTTACATTATTTGACATCGTGAATCCAAAAATGATACTCATAGGGGAGACCCGGGAGGTATGGGCCCCCTGGAGGTATGGGCCATCGCAGTTTTGAAGAAGTGTTGCGTATTTTTACACTTTTGATGGCGTTAACTGGTAGCAGCCATTCCGTTATACACCCCACGTGATTTTCAAAATCTTCCTCAGTCTTCTTTGGCAATGAGCGGCGATAAAGCGTTTTTGCCCTCTTCGAGTAAAATACGGTACATACAGAAAATTTGTGATAAATTTGATCCAGGCTCGTTTTATGATGTCAGATCATCGCTAACATAAAGTGCAAAGCATGCAAATTAAGACTGGATAGACAATTTGAAGCTTTCTTGCAAGATTATGAGCTGAGATGCTACGCACATTCTGGTGTCCTAACCGAGAGGTTCGGGCCACCCACCTCCAGTGATCCTAAATCAATAAAATGATGCTTTCTTTGAATGTCCCCGTCAATAAGTTTTATTTTTGTCGCGCAAGGTCGAAAATTTAGCTTCAAATTTAATTCGAACAGAAAAAAATATTATTGATCCTATTTCATGGTGGATGATCGAGATTACCAAAATACCTATTGGTCCAAGTGACCTCCATGAAGTAAGCTGTTGGCCGCTTATGTGGTTCCTGAG